GATCTGTTTTTAAGACAATTTTTCAATATAATTGCAAAAGAGCAAACAAAAAAGCAAGTTTGAATGTTTAATGCTTCTTTCTTTTTATACATCTTACTGTTAGATCATAAGGATTGATATTTTGGTAGTATAAGTCAAAATTGAAATAATTATTTGATTGCACCTTACATATTTGTTGCAATTGTTATAGCTAACAAATCCAATTACTCTTTCGTAAAACATATTCAGGCGGTTTTATTTTTATGAATTAATCAAACCAGATGTTAGTTATTAATATTACATATTTCTGTTGATTTCAAAAAATTCCTGCTTAGTCGTTCATAGATTTTCTACCCAAAATTTCGGCATGTTGTTTTCGCTTTTTGAAGTCTAATTTCTAATCAGATCCAAAAATCTTCTGGGCAAGTTTAAATGATCATTACAATCCCTATAGTTATATCTAGTATATTTCTGACAAATATATGAAAGGGGGGATGGAGAACTGCCAATTAAATGTTGTGGAAAATTCACTGGGTTGATTAACTAGCAGTAGGCAACAAAAACGAAGACAGTGCAGTGGCGCCACGTCCATTTGCCACGCGACATCAGCCAAACGCCACCGCGTGCGCCTTTAATACATGCCGCAGTCTCAAGGAATATCTAACAACGAATTTTGATGCTGCTTGCATGATTTCGACGATTGATTCTTTAATGGTGCTTTTCAAAATTGGTAAAGCTTTCTTCAATATGGAAATGTAGCAATACCTTCGACGTCATAGCTTCAAACACTACCGTTAATATCTGTCCAGAAGATCTTACGTGTTATCCAAACGTATGCGGAATCTTCTTTTTTTATCTGATTTCACGGTCTCCCTTCGTAGATCTTCAATTTTCACGCTCGCCCAAAAATTTTTAACAAATTTTTTACGTGACTTGTTTCTTAAATATGCTTGTTCCCTCCCCAGAAGCAGAAATTTACTTTTCTTGACTCAATTTTTTTCGAGCACAATTCATTCGTTTATATCACCCGAAACACATAAAACTGAGCGATCAAAACGATTTTATTTCAACCATGTCTTCCTTATTCCGAAACATTTTGAACAACTATGAACCACGTTAATATGGTACGTTGAATTTTTATATTTACCAATAGAAAAAAATTGCAAATTCAGCGGAAGTGCTTGAAAGTTTTTGAAATAATCATTCAACAGGTGTCTGCTGTATAAACATCAAATGTTGATGAGAAGCAAGCGGACTTTTTTATTATGTCCAAAATTTTCCACCGACTTTGCAAACGTTATATCGCACGTTCCCTTTTTTGTAGTAACATTTTGGTTCTAATATTTTACTTTGGCATCACGTCAGTTGGTTGATTAACTAACAAAATAATTCAATTGCACCTCAAAATTTCTATGACGATATATATTTTATATGTACAGATTTGACGGATAGGTCAGAAATTGAAGACAATCATAAATTAGTTGAACGAAAGCGATGCTAGGGCACGGAATTTGTAAAATTTTTTATGTTTATTCATCCAAGAAAACATAGAATTTTAAATTTGGATCTCATTGTGTTCGGCTTCCGCTAGAACCCACACATTTTGTGAATCATGCTCTATTATTTGGAAAACGCTATCTTCGTTGAACGATTCCAATTATGGCCAACCTAGAAATTATTTTATGGCACGTTGGGCATAAAAAAGCAGCATCTCATCGTCTTGTCCTTCAGAAATTTTTATTGATTCTCGAATTCATAAAATTTAAACTTTCGTCTTGCGCTTTATTTAATAAACGCATTGCTCATTTAATTTCATTACATTGAATCCAACTCGACATTCGAACGCAAATATTTCATTTAATTTCTGTGTATGTATGTTCGTTTGGTGCATCTCCTAACAGTTTACGCTTTGTTTTGTGAAACGCCTCCGACGGAAATCATAAAAGTCATGTTGCCACATCGATGTTTAGGCTCTTAAAAATGCCAAAATATCAGCATCACGTATTTATTCGAATAAATATTGCCGCCCGTAAGCAATGTATCGTGAACAAGAAACAAGATTTTTTGAAAAACTACATTCGAATATGTTACCAAGGCAAAGTAAATAAACATTTTGGTGACGAGATAATTGGCGTCTTAAAGTTCATTCGAACAAATTAGTTACGATTATTATGCATATAAATACACAGTGTTCAAGTGCTAAGGTTTTTCTTTCAAGTACTAACTTTCAGTTCAAGATTTGATAGCTAGAAATTGAAAGAGAGAGAGAGAGAGAGTTTGGTTGCGGCAAAAATTTCAAATAAATCAGTACATATTTGTATAACAGCGGTTCAGAGTCTTTTTTTGGAAGAACTGAAATAAAATTTTTTAATCGAATAACGTTCATATTTTATTGCCAAAGCTATTATAACGAATTATAAGAATTAATGTTGAAAATGGATAGCTGACTATCTGAAAAGATAATTGAATATAGCTGGAATTCAATGCAATTTCTAATGAATTTTGTTCTCCTAAATTCCACAAAATGTACTTTTGACAAAATAATAAAAATTTTTTCCTAAATACTAAATGAGATCAGCCATTTTCAATGCATGACATTTATGTTTTTTTTCTACCAATGATTGTGCAAAAAACCTTCTATATTCTCATACATTTCGACAATTTGAAAGAAAGTTGATTTCCGAAGGAAAAACCTATTAGATTTGTGTCTCATGTCATGTTAGAAACTTATTTCCAATTCATCTTGGTCGAATTTTTTTCTTTCCGTTTGTCAACTGCAACGAATTGTTGCCGGCCTAGCTCAAGGTTGCGAAGAAAACAAATTAAACAAGGCTGATGACTTGTTGATCTCTCGTATGCAAATTTCAAAATTTTTTAGACATAGCAATAATTGTGAATTTAAAATTTTAAATGTTCTTATAAATATCTGTTTGTTATTTTTTTATTTAAATTCGATTATTTTTTGATTATAATTGATTGTTTTTTTAGATATTTAAATTGTTTTTTTTTTTCTTTGATACATCTATTCGGTATGCTACAAATAGAGCAAAGTGTAAAAATTCTCATGGAATTTTTTTGGCATTGCCAATCACTTCAACATTAAAACCCTTAATAATTGTACGTTGGCTATTCACATTTATTTATATTTATTGCAAAATTTGCCCAACAAGACAAAACCAGAAAATATTTTGATTATTCATCAAAACACAAAACATCTCATGATAGCATTAAAACCAACGGCATGATTTCGAAAATATTACGCGTCCTTTCTTTTAAGCATGCGAATTCGATCCTCTATTCGGCGCTTTTTCATGAAATGCAATATGGAAAGAGCAATTTTGAGAAAAGACTGGCATGCGATTTATTTCCTCTCGTAAATTTGCCCATCACGTTTAACTTAACAAATACCACATGGCCAATTTATTCAGAATGGGCCGTGTTTCGGTGAACGCTTTCCAAAAATTGCCTACTTCAAAATTTTCTTTTTTGATAACACATACACACATTTATTGATATTTAAATTGTTATATACGTTTGCATTTGCCGCTCACTATGTCTCCCTCTATTGAGAAAAATAACCAACAATTGGATTTACTCATTATTAAGCAAATATATATATATATATATATTTATTTATTTATTTATTTAATGTTCTTTAAAGCTTTTCATAAAATTATAATATTTGACAATAATTTTGTTTTCAGAATTTTTTCAGCCAATAAAATGCACTTTGCTTATTTTCAATATTCTGAATGGAATTTTCATTTAATTTTCAAAAAATGGATTTAAATTTCACCCAATTTAAAATTACTTTAAGTATATTAATGTGCAAATTAAGTTTATAGGTTGAAGCACTATAAAACATGTTTTTTTTCCAATGTGACAGATTGTTACATGAAATGGAGGAAATTGGATGCGCTTGAATCGGACCACATATTTTAAAGCCAAAATGTCGGTTTCGTTTTTTTTTCTCTGTTTTTCATATATCCCTTCTATTAAATTAAAAATTAAACAAAAAATTAAATAAAACTATACAATCATTTTTTGTTGACTTTAAATTTCAACTTAAATATTTGTGATTATTGGTTTGTTAATCACATCAATTCAATTTGATTGGATTACTTTCTTTTACAAAATATATCTACCATTTTCACAAGAATGAACCATTTTTAATATCATAAATACGTTGGAATGAAATCCCAATTTTCTCTTTTTTTTCTGAAAATGACAGGTTATGAAAAACACCAATTCATATAACAACAAATACACGGTTAAAAATAAAATGGCTTTGTCGTTTGTCTTTTTCGTCCATAAAAAACATTTATCTTCTTTCAAATCTCTTTTTTTATTTCTCATATAATCATAGTTCTTGAAATTAACGATTATTAATGATGTATACAAACATATATATGTCTATTTATATATATAATGAATTTATGAAATTATTATTTCTTTGAGTTTCTGGCGTCATTCAAATTAACAATTATCAAACCGACCCCTAAAATTTAAAAGAACCAGTTATCTGCGTGAGATCACACCCCGTGGATGTACCCGCATGCAGCAATCGCAGGACACTGATTTTAGGTGTTATAAAAAAACGAACCGGTAGACAACCATTCGCAAAAATAATTTATTTTTTAATATCTAATATTAGAAAGATGTCCAAGCGAAAATTGAAAAAAAAAAAACAATTTTTTCCGCGAACTCTGGGCGGTTCTTGTATTCCTGATTAAAACATATTTTGGTATGGGTAGTTTCTTATCAACTGTTGCCAACAAAAAGGGCGTGGATGGTCAAGAATAAAATAATCTATTCAGTTTAAAATGAAATTTCAAGCTTTAAGTGTTTTTTCTCCCAATCGTTTGATTGTTTGCTTCTCAGTCCTCCTCAAAAGATTTCATTTTTCCATGTTTGATAATACGACGTGCACCCATTATTGTATTCACATCCACATTTCACATCCGTCCTCAAAAAAATGCCGTTCTTTATTTTTTCGAGTCGTATGCCTTCCGTTTTTCCAGATGTTCACATTCTTAAAACGTGGTATTACCAACACCACGGCGAACACGCAAAAATTTATTCGAAATTTGGTGTATCGCGATCGAGAAGCGCTCGACCCATTGCTGGTGAGAAATAATTTTGGAAAACAACATATTAAATGTAATACATACATATAACACTTGTTTTGGGGTCTGTTCGACGAGTGGGTGTATATGTGGAAGATGTAAAAACACAAAGAGTAATAAATGAAAACTACGAGATAACAAATCATGAATAGATTCTACACCCGTTTTGCACTGATGACGCAGCGCGATAAATTCATACCACCCAACTGAATTCAGTCAACACTCATTTCTTTATTGTTTCGAATCTATAGATCTGTTTTTCTGCCATTTGATGAATAGCAATCAAGAAAACTTATGGGTTTTATTCACAAAAAATGTCGAGTTCCGTATTCTACGTAAATGTACAACAAGTAAAGGTGAGATAGTCTGCAGATCATCTAATCTTTTTTTAAAAATCTTTCATATCAATATTTGCTAATTTTCAGAGAGAAGAAGACCGTCATGAGGTACCATCCAAATACACAAATGTTCATATTCGAATGCCATATTCTCAAAATCTTCGGGTACAAGGATCAGCATCGCTTCGCACCGCTTTAGTGGTACTTAGTATTGGCGCAGCGAGTCACTTTTTGGTTTGTAAACTTGCGAATCTGATGCGAGATTCACTATTTTCAGTTATTTCTTGACAGTGTTGTTGACAATTTGCTACCAGCAGCAATGCCTTTTCTTCTAGAGGAGTACACATCAAAAGAAAAAGGTATAACCAAAATTTACCTATTCAACTCAAATAACATTTTTTGAGGATTGAAATTTTAAGCATCAAAAAGAAAAAAGACTTTTCTCAATTGAACAATTATATACATGATAAATCATAATTATATTTTATTCGGTTCTTTTAAATTAGAATTTCTATTTTTAGCCGATCACGCATGGGAACTATTTGTATCCTCAAGGATCTACGGTCTTGCTGTTGGATGCTTCATTGCTGTTTTATTATCGCACAGAAATGGACGAAAGTTATCAGTTATTCTAGGTATTTCAAAATTTCAAAAGAATATGGCCATAGCTGTATTTTTCAGGAGTAGTTCTCGATATTATTGGCGTGATTATGAGCTTATTAATCACCTATATCCCCTATGGTGTCGGTGTTGCTACAGCAGGAAGATTGTTGAATGGAATTGGGCAAGGGCTAGTTCAAACCGCGGGATCGGTAATGCTTTCCGAATTGCCACCAATCAAGAAAAGAGGAACGGCACTAGCAACACTGGTGAGTAAAGGGATCATATTGTATCATTAGTGAATGAAAACAGGTGCTTGACAGATAGTTTCTCAAGTTTTTAATTTTCGGAAGTTTTCGTCTTTCAGACTATGTGGGCTTGTCTCGGGGAACTTGGTGGAATGTTAATTTCATTGGATAGTATTCTTGGTCGACCGAGCTGTTGGCAATGGGCAATGGGATTTCCGTTAATTCTTCTAATTCCTTCACTTTGCATTCTTCTAAAAGCACCGGAATCTCCACGATATCTATTCCTAGCGAACCAGGAAAATTTGGCAAGGAAAGCAATGGCTTTTTATCAGGTAATTCCATTTAAATTCAATATATATATTTTATGTAGACATATATTTTTTAATTAAGAATTCTATTGATGGGAAACAGTCAATTGAAGAAATTCTCGTTGAAAAACAATACATTTCAAAGAACAAATTTGATGAGAACGGAAATTCAAAAAAATCGGAAGATATAGGATTAGTAAACTACACAATGGAGCGTTTGAAGGTAGAAAGTAATAAGATGAATAATAAAATCAATTAAAATCTTCAGGATGGACGCTTCACGCGACCGCTTCTTGTAGCTTTGTTAGTTCAAACATTTGTTCATCTTGACGACTGGGTACGAAGCAAATGCTAAAGCTGGAAGAATATAGATCAACAAATTTCAGTTGTGGATTCCATACTCAACGCAAATCTTTGAAAATTATGGTTTGGACTCCGGAACCGCTCAAATTTCTTCATTGCTGATGTCTGTTCCGCAAGCATTTATCAGCATCGGTCTTCTTGGGTACACATTTTGAGATTGATTTAATTCCAAACATTTATCGTTTTCAGATGTTTCGATAATTTCGGTCGTCGTACATTGCTTATAGTACCCACAATTTTGAGCGCACTTTTTGGGTTTTTGGCAATTGGTACAATTTGTCACGGAACATGTTGGTTATGAACAAATTAATTTTTTTCCTCAACATTATTTAGTGTTTGGTCTTTCGAAATCAAATGGTCTTCCTTTATTAGCAACGCTAGATTTGGCAGTGGCGGCGATTAGTGGAGAATCGGCGTATGCAATTGTTCCTGAACTATTTCTTGCAAATGATAAGGTTTTGGCAACAGCAATCGCCGGAATTGTTCAGGTAATTTAGTTTTAAACATGAATTAAAAAAAAAAAAAGTTTAGAATTGTTTCGGTGGAGTTTTGACCAGTTTCCTTCTTACTGCCCTCAATAGTCGTGGAGTCGAGAAAGTCCTCATCCCATTCGTCATTATGAACGTGGTGTATGCTGCATTGAACTACAAATTTTTGCCAGAAACTGCTGGAAAATCCCCTCAAGTAATATATAACTCAATCCTTATCAAAATATCAGTTATTTTTTTTGCAGGAAATCTCTAGAAATTATTCGCAGAATTTGCCTGGTAGTGGCATTTTTACGTATCTGAAATTGAAAATCAGTGAGTTTCAAGCTCAATCCAAATCCAATCCATTTCTTTTTAGTCTCATAGGCTTCGTTTTCCAACTTATACTATGCTGTTCTCTTATTGATTTTGCATATTACTTGTACATTTCGCTGTAGCTTCGGGTGAAACACTCGTATCTAATTTTGTTTTATTGCAACGATGGTCTCATGTTCCAAAGGGTGAAGAATTCACATTATTGATATTAGAGAATGTGATTGGAGATTAATAAATAATTTTTTAATGAAGCGTGTGTTTCGGGTCAATTTTTTATGACTTTCCATTCAATTCGTCAAAATTAACCTAATGGATTAGTTCTTTTCAGTTCTTTAATTTTGAAAGCTCGCTTTAGATCAATAATATTGTGTCTCACAAGCTCAAGTAAGTATATATACAGTACCGCAGAAAAAGATACGAAATAATTAATTTTCTTCATAACTTTTGAACGAGTTGTCCGATCGGGGTGAAATTTTTACTGAAAGTAAAAAACACAATTTTAAAACAAATTGTAAAGTGAATTACACTAGTTCGCAAAAATACGTGCTAGGGGACATTTTTTTGAAATCTGCAAAATGTGGAAAAATCGATAAGTTTTAGTTTTCCTATATTTTTTCAATATATTTTTTAGTTTTCAATACTTTGTGATCATATTAGTTATTTTTAACGATGAGTCTACCAAAAGGGTCTAAGACATTATCTAAAGCTGGTCGCATTGCGATTAATAGAGGCCGAGAATGTGGGGTGTCGATTTTCGGTAAGGCCAAACGGTTCGCAACGAGTATTTCGATCATCTTGGCTTCAAATAAAACTCAAAACCGATCAAAACCAATAGGAAGACCACCAAAACATCTCCAGCTATTGGTTGTGTCATTATTAGGATGAGCAGAAAAAATCCGAGGCTGGCAAGTACCGACATCACCAGATGACTTATGCAGCATTATGGAGTTGAGGCCACTTTTTTTGCTAATTGGAACGATACAACCGATATAGGTTTGCAGTGAGACTGTTAGAAGTGGTCTCCACCATGTTGGATTGTTTGGTCGTCGTCCGGTGAAAAATCCAATAATCCCGGCCAAATTAAGATGGCACGATTGCGATGTGTAAAGGATCATCTCAGCTGGACAATTAAACAGTGGTCCAACATCCTATGAATTGACGAATCAAAGTATATGATGGTTGAAACTGGTGGTAAAACTCATGTACAACATCGATCAGGAAAAATATTTCATCCCTAGTACCATGTTCCACCTGTTAAGCATTGGGGTGGAACTGTACTGGTATGGGAATGTTTTTCTTCTATCAGCGTTGGTCCTCTGCGCTGAATAGAAGGTATTATGAACAAGAATTTGTACAAATACATCAGAGAGGACCATATGCTACCATTTGGACGTTCGAAACTTGGGCCTGGTTGGATTTTTCAACAGGACAACGATCCAAAACTCTTATCACACTTGGTTAGGAATTGGATCGCGCTGCTTCGGGTGAACTCTATGACCTGGCCGAGCCAATCTCCCGACCCAAATCATATCGAACACCGTTCAGAAGGGTTCCAATGTTGTTTAAATAAAAAAAACTGTTCAAAATTGTAGTGAAAAATTCTCACAATTAGAGCAAGCTTGACATGCCCTGCCGGCTGCTACCCTAAACCACTTAGTACCTTCCATGCCTGAAAGATGTTATGCTTCTATTGAAGCAAATGGTATGGCGACTAAGTATTAGGTTTATTAAACCTTGAAAAAATATTGATTGATGTTTGACGATCTAATTTTGTTTCTACAGCCATTTGAAATTATTCACCGATTTTCATGATTTTTTGAATATTCGATTTTTTGCGATTTATACTTGAAAAATATTAATTTCCATAATATGAACGTGCTTTTAAACATTTAAATGTATGAAAAATAAGTGCTAAAAATTTCACCCCAATTGGACCACTCGTTCAAAAGTTATGAAGAAAGTTAATTATTTCGTATCTTTTTCTGCGGTACTGTATATCGAAAGACTTCCGATCCTACATATATGCTTTTGATATTATTTATAGGTTGTGTCAAAATTTCATTATTATTCAAATACTGAGGAAAATTTAAAAAAAAAATCGACATTATTTGCATCCAAGTTAATATATAACCCATTTTAAACCTGATTTTTGTCCCTTTTAAATTTCCTGAATTCTAGGAGTTTATATTAAGCTCATAGGTTTTTTCACAAAGCTGAGACCACAAGATCCCACCTACCTGAGAAATTTTGCGTTAAGCGGCACATATGTCTCCTTAAATTTTTACCTGCTAAAAATCCGTCTGTAAATTAGTGTAATAATTCAGTTACACCGCTTGATTATACTTTAAGTTCCTCTTATATCAATAAGAAAAATGATTTTTTTCTTGTCTATATGCGGTGAAGATAATTACGTTTATTATATCATAATTATTATACATTTCAGCCAAATATACAAAAATTAAGCCCGTGGTGATTAATATTGTGATTTATCTGGGAGATGGAATGAAGTTATTATTTTGCGCATTTGCTTTCGTCTGGTCGATCGCACATTTGTGAATCGTTATGAAAAGTAAGACCGTTTGGACATTCAAAATTATAGGACATTCCGTTAACACAACGGATGAATCTTAGGCAATTGCCAACAACCCCATAAAAGCCATCCTTCTCACATTTGAATGAGTCTGAAAAATATTGGCAATGGGAACAATTATAAAGGAAATAATTCTACCATCATCTGGTGTAGTTGCAGTTGGTTTTTTCGTAGTTGTCCTTGATAATGTTACGCTAGGTTTTACGGTACTTCTTATAATTGGCAGAGATTTTCCAATTTTACATTTTGAAACAGCGGGTTTAGCGCAATGCTTTAATTGGGCCGAATATTCTAATCCAGCAGGACACATCATAGTATACGCTGATCCTGAAAAATATCGATTTCGACAAAAATAACACTTTGGTATTTTACCATCTAAACATAGAATGAAACTGTTGCAATCTGTTGTAGAAGGATAATGGCCGTTTAACTTTCCTGCACAGTTAAATCCCGGTTTTGGAGGAGCCGGCGTAGTGGAAGGACGTGACGTAGTAGTTGTGGTAGTTGTTGGAGCTTTCGTAGTAACTTTTGGAATCGTAACTCCGCCAAGTTCTTTTGCGATCACACTGATCAACGGGTAAAGCTGACCATTGGAATTGCTACATTTCGCGTTAAAATCATCAAAGTCGAGAGTCCAAACAAACGCTCCTCCATATCCTTCCCGTTTCAGCCAAGCCATCTGAAAAAAACATTGATTAATCCACTTAAATTCAATTACCTTATTAGCGAAAGATTCCTCATCGTCATACGACCACCACTGATCACCATGTACCAAATATGGTACCTGTGTATCTCTGTCCCAATGCCTTGTCGCCCCTTTAGCAAGCATTTCGCAAAACTCAAAATAAGAGCCTACGCCGGCTTCTTGTACATATTTGGTGATCTTTGCTGGGCTTCCATGACTTCCCGGTTTGTCATCACTGACATTTTTCAATGTCCACCCTCTTCCATACGTCGGCATTCCAACAATAATTTTTTCTTTAGGCATCCCCTTTTCGTGCCAATGACGAGCAGCAAAGTCGACATTCCAAGATTTCCATTCAGTTGGAAGAGCATCAGTGGCATACAATGGTGAATTGAATCCAACGAGTGAGGCCCATGCACCAAAGAAATCATAGCTCATCAGGAGAATGAAGTCGAATGAGGTCGCCAAATTAGGGATGTCATAGCCAGCATCAATTGTTTGTTGGCCAGACGCGACTGCAGCAGTGACCAATAGGCGATCCCTTCCTGATTGTTTACTTTCGGCATCACAAGCAGAACGCAGTTCCTTAAATTCGCCCAGCTATATGATACAAAAATATACATACTTTAACCAGAGCAACAAAATTAGAGGTGTCGTCTTTTCCAGAAGGGTATTCCCAGTCAAGGTCGATACCATCAAAGCCCCATTTGCGTACGAACAATATTGCAGAGTCTATGAATACTTTACGACTGGCAGCCGTTGCAGCCATTCCTTGGAACAATCTTGTGCCAAAACTCCATCCTCCAAACGATAATAACGTCTTCAGCGCTGGATCCTTTTTCTTCAACGCATTCACACGCATGTACATCCCGTCACCTGCCCAATCATTCGGAAGATCTGCCGTATCATATGCTCTTAAATATCCTGATTCCAAAAAAAAAACATAAACTCATTGTTTGAGTACCTAACTGTAAAATCTTCGTTCATCCATCCGAAAGCGAATAAAATGTGTGTGCACAGTCCGGCGACATAATCTTCCGGCATAAATTTTGCTCTCCCCTGCCTGATAATTCAAACAACATTCACGTGATCGAAATGATTTTTTTTGCGGCGCGAGAAAAAAAAAACTGCTCCGCCATGTTTGCGCAATCATGATCATATTACAAACCTGTATTGCGCCCAATTCGTGAAGTAGCACGGTCGAATATAATTTTTCTTTGTCGGTGAACGCGCGACGTAGTTTTCATGATTTTTCAGTGTTGCAACAATGTCAGCTGGATCTGGAAAAACGTGCGAAGAAAAATGATTTTGTTTTGCCTCTTGAGATGGAAGTGTTGTCGATGTCCCGTTTGACAATAGCACTTTACCCATTGCGAAAAGTAAATAGAAAATTGAGACAGAGCTTCAATTAGTGACCGCTGATGTGGTGTCCAGGACAAAACTATTGAATATGGATGGTGTTTTAGAGAAAAATTCAACTTGAAATTGTTTGCAATTAATATAAAATTTAATTAACACGCACTAAAATTACTCAATTTTCATTTTGTAAGTAGTGAAACTCACTATTCCGAATTCCGGTTCCATTCCATCCTCGAGATAACGGAAATAATATTAATAAAACAAATAAGATCATGATATTGGAAAAACGAAATGCTGGTTTCTCAGCTGGGTTTGACATAAGGCTGCAAATTGAGAAAATGACATATAAGTAGACGAAGTGGAAGACTGTTTGAGCAAACTGGTGTCCTCTCAGTTTTCGCTCTTTGTCTTCTCTCGCGTTTTGTACGAGAACGAAAGAGAAGGAATTGCTCATTTATCGAGTGAGGGGCTTCAAAAAAAAAAACAAATTTGTTTTTGACCGGTGGACATGATAATAGGAGGAGATGAGACTACAAGAGCATAATTAAATATTGAAAGTATCGAGCGAAAACTACTGAAAATTTATACTAAATAAACATTCTCGTTCAAACTCCGCATTCTTTTAGGACTGATTCAGCATTAATTCAGAATAATCAAAACGTTCATTGTGAACATGAAATTTGACAAATCAAACGTTATTGAATTGGGTAAAAATGACAGCAATTTACCGACCACTTAATAGATTGTGCATTATTCTTTTCACACCGTTCATTGCCTGGAACGTTCTAATTTTTTTTTAAATTTTCAACTAATTGGTAATAAGGATGCACATAAGATTAATTAAATAGGTGATACAGATAGCGTCCGGATGCTGTGGAACGTTGGTAGATCTATGTGTATGCGTCTTTTGACTCAAATCTGGGTATATTTCGAGAATATAAAATTTCATTCACGTTATAAATCTAAGGAAATGATAAATTTATTAAGAAAAAATTAAAAGTTCCTTCGAAAATAGCAAAATAATCATAAAGACGTAGCGAGACATTGTCAAAGGCACACACTTATGTCTAACTAAGGCTTCAATTCGGGCGGCTGCCGCCCACCCCTTGCCCGCTCGCCCACGTCCGCCGACGGTCACAAATTAGTCGGCCATGGCATATTTCACGTCAGCCGCTATTTTTAAATTTGTTTCTTATATATAATATGAATTTAAAAAGTTTTTAAAAGATTTATTCAAACAAAAACATAAAATACAGGATAAAGTAATTAAATTAATCTAATTTCCAGATGAAATAAAAATAAATCGCATAGAATGTTGTTCGCATAGTGAATTTGAAAATTTCAAACGTACGGCCTGCTATTTAATAGGTCGTCTAATTAATACACTTCTTCGCTACCCTTTGGAACTTTTGTTACCGATCAAGTACGCTAAAATTTGTTATAAAATAACGTTATTTCCTATTTTTGCCTCAAGAAATCGCATAAACTACTTTACAGATATTTCTCTTCAAAAAAACCCACAGCGGCAATTCAAATATTAAACTAATATGTGCCTTAAATTCATTCATCAAAAATACTATTTTTAATGTTATAATACTATCAAAATACGGGAGGGTGCGGGAATTGTTACCCCTCGAATTGAAATCATTTATCAAACCGCCTACTGCAGTAGCCGTTTAACGACTTTATCCATATGAAATTAAATATTGCAAAATAAGAAAGAATTTTAGAATTTATTTTTTTAAACAATTTTATAGGGAAAATATCAAATACACACATATTGTTTAATTTTCTATCTTCTGAAAAAAAACTATTTTCTTTCTTTGTTACGGTATGGCCTTCTGCTTTCTAACTTGCCAGTAAAAAGATTAAAAAATGAAATAGTAATTTCAATTAATTATCTGTTAAAAAAAATCATTTTTCGTAGAAAATTCTCAACTTAAACGATGGATTTTGAGTGAGAAGCATTGAGTGAGATAGTGAACAATAATAGAGGGTCGTTGCTTGGAAGAGAAATGCGGAGGGTTTATATACACTGCATCGTGCGTTTCAATTGTGGCCGAATGGTCTAGTGGTATGATTCTCGCTTTGGGTGCGAGAGGTCCCGGGTTCAATCCCCGGTTCGGCCCATTCTTTTTTTTCAGTAGCTAAATAGGCAGAGAGATTTAATGATCAATGTACTAGAAAACTGCATGAAAGCTGAGTTCGGCTATTGAAAATTTCAAGCTTATATTTTTTAATTTTTAAAAAAATTTCCATTTGAAGCCAAGCAATAATTATCGTTATGTTTTTAGTCATTGTTTAGAGCTTCAGGTAAATTGTCTGCCTTATGAAGAAATGGTAAAAGAAATGTTCATAGAGTACCAAAAATTAAGTAAAAATGTTAGCGTAGTGTCTAACTCCATTTTCTCAACTTAACATTTTTATATGCCAACAAAAAAGGCATCCATGGTTTGAATGTTGTTAATTTAATTATGGGCTTTACAATTAGTAGAATATAAGTTTTGTTCATTCAAACCACTTCATTTTATCCAAATTATATCTCAATAGAAACCGGGGCAACGAAGCATATCGCGAGATAGTGAACACTAATAGAGGGTCGCAGCTTGGAAGAAGACTGCGAAGACGACTTCCTATACACTGCATTATTCCATCGTGGCCGAATGGTCTAGTGGTATGATTCTCGCTTTGGGTGCGAGAGGTCCCGGGTTCAATCCCCGGTTCGGCCCATTCTTTTTTCACTAGCGTAGTGTGATTTGAGTACTTTAACTCACTTTTAGAGAACAAGGGGTTTCCTGACCTCTACGTAAAACACCACTCTTGTGAGTAGAACTGATTGAAACGGGGCAAGCGTGATATTTAGAAATCAAATAGCTAGCTATGCTAATCGGGTATTCCAAACAGTTGCCATCTGCACGGTTACCGTTCGAAGAAAAAATGACCACCAGCTGGACGAAAATTGATAATCGGGGGGAACTAAAACTTCCAGCGGACGATTCTTAAACAGCGAATGAACACTTTAAATTTAGAAAATTTTTATTAAAACCCATACAAAGACCTCAAATATGTTTTCTGTCCAGATCGTCATGATAGCCCAATATTCGTCAACGCATTTTTATCAGCAAATGAGCACAACAGTAAATAGTAATCAATTCGGGGTTATTATGTTGAGAACGAAACATGAATGCGGACCCACTCAAGATCCTGATTATGAGAAAACAGAAATACTGATAAACAGCGGCCACTGTTCGCCCGATAATCGGTCATTGACTATGTGTAACCTCCAAGACTGGAAATTATGAGATTTGCTTGTTTTAATGATTTTCGTCTCATTTTTGCATATTTCGATTTCAGAATTGATTACGCAAGCTTTCCACATATTTTCAAAATTTTCAACACAAAAACAAATAAAAAGTAATTTTTAAAATTTAACAATTAAATTACCGGTTAATTTCCTCTCAGAAATTGTTTAATTCACTTCCTTTTGTTGCTCAACCTGAGAAGTATTGAAATATATAAAAATCGAGAATTATGAATTAAATATAAAATTTAAGACAAAATTAATGAATCTCGTCAACTTGGTCATCATTATATTCTCCCTGCAGTCGAATGAAACACATGCGGCGAAATGTGTTGTCTGCGCAGATCCGATATTCGTAAGTGCTTCTCTCACATCAAATCTGCTGCTGCAAAAAGAGGTTTGCTATTTATGTTGAATTATGTAGATTGCAGCAGATAGCAAATTGATTTGCCACGTGGATACACTTTGTTCAACAAGGAATGACACTTGTGTCTTGGAATGTTAGTAGCATTTATTTTGATTTTTGTAACTTTCATTGTTTGATGGATTGCAAATCTTTGTGTGAAGCATATCATATAAAGGTGGTATACACAATTCTATTCACTGAACATTTTATTTATTTTCAGAAAAGAACACACAATCGTATTCCTCTTTTTATTTGAAATTGCCATCTACAAATTTTTAAGTAATTTTTCAGTTTAATTAATAAATTGAATTGTCGTTTAAGAATATAATAAATTTCATATCAAACCGTTTGATTATTGGAATGAGCAGCACGAAAGCTTCGGAATCAACCTTCAACTATATCAGGCGAGAAGAACGGGCTCAAATAAAAAACATATTATATATATTGAATACTATCGCATAATGGTTATCGTGTGTTCCAATAGTATTGTTATCAGACACGAAGTTTATGGTTTTTGTTTATTCCTTAAAAATAAAATTTCTGCCGTCGCTTTCTGGATGTTGATTAGAAAAAGATTCCAAATAAAGTTTGAAGTCCCACTCAAAAATTTGACTTCATAAAAATGTGTATGTTGTTAGCGGAAATATTAAAAATTAAATTTATTCTGTTCATATATTTGTTTAATCAACAATTCAATTAATCCATTAAATCTGAAATATCCATAAAAGTTGGTAGTTGACAAATTCAAATGAAAAGTGGAATACGATTGCGTGCTTTTCTCTGAAAACAAGTAACATATTCATGAATAAGAGAGGTATATCACACTTTTATTTTAATATGCTTCACGCAAATATATGTGATCCACTGAACAGTGAAGGTGACAAAAATCACAATAACTGCAAGTACCATCATTCCGAGGCACAAGTGCCATTCCTTGCGAAACAAAGTATATCCACGTGGCAAATCAAGTAATGATGTTTCCGACAAAAAACTTAGTGTCAGTGAACTATGCGCTGCAATTTCCTATTCTTCAACTTAATTTTAAAAAAATTAAGTTACCGTCAAATTTCCTGTACCAATAATGATGTTTTGTCATATTCATATATTTGATATCATATTTTGGAAAATTCCATACAAGATTTGAGCTACAATCATAATAATACCCCTCTAAAAATCCCAATTTGGCAGAATGTTTCTCGAATGACGTACTTTGAAATTCGCTATTATCAGAATCAATTGTTAGCATAAGTGTTGCTTTGAAACATGCATAGTTACAATCCACCTGCAATCTGAAAGTTTTTATGTATTACAGATATACAACTAACCTCAGGTGGCTTTGCTGACTGCTTGCATGATACCATTCCACCATTCCTTGGAACAACTGTTGGGTGGTCTTTATCGAACTTGTAATTTATAAAATCAATAAACGCCTGAAATTAGAACAACACAGCTCTGGCTGCCCAAACCTCTTTTTGCAGCAGCAGATTTGATGTGAGAGAAGCACTTACGAATATCGGATCTGCGCAGACAACACATTTCGCCGCATGTGTTTCATTCGACTGCAGGGAGAATATAATGATGACCAAGTTGACGAGATTCATTAATTTTGTCTTAAATTTTATATTTAATTCATAATTCTCGATTTTTATATATTTCAATACTTCTCAGGTTGAGCAACAAAAGGAAGTGAATTAAACAATTTCTGAGAGGAAATTAACCGGTAATTTAATTGTTAAATTTTAAAAATTACTTTTTATTTGTTTTTGTGTTGAAAATTTTGAAAATATGTGGAAAGCTTGCGTAATCAATTCTGAAATCGAAATATGCAAAAATGAGACGAAAATCATTAAAACAAGCAAATCTCATAATTTCCAGTCTTGGAGGTTACACATAGTCAATGACCGATTATCGGGCGAACAGTGGCCGCTGTTTATCAGTATTTCTGTTTTCTCATAATCAGGATCTTGAGCGGGTCCGCTTTTATGTTTCGTTCTCAACATAATAACCCCAAATTAATTACTATTTACTGTTGTGCTCATTTGCTGATAAAAATGCGTTGACGAATATAAAGTAAATGGAAGTTTTTAGGTAATAACTAATCAAAATTCATAGCGAGAACTCTCCAACTCACCAAGAATACTGTTAAGCTTATTCTTGTAGATAAGCAGGGTTGGTAAATTGAAGCCGGGGCCGAAAGCCGGCCGGCCGGCCCGGCTTTCGGCCGGCTTTCGGCTTTTTTTTGATTTCCCGCTTCGGCCGTGCGGCTGTAAACAACGGAGTTGGGGGCCGAATCGCGGGCCGAAAATTTGACAGCGAAAAAAGCCGGCCGGGCCCAAAATTTAACAACCCTGTAGATAAGTATATTGATAATGTTGTCAACGCTAATTTTTAACGATTTTTTCCAAGTACAGCTGGACAATCACTATATAGTTTCAAACTACTAATTATCCATCATTAATATTCTTTTATAAAACTATATATTCTAATTTCGCTATAGAATGAAATGACAAATCCATTTTATCTGATTAAATCAATTCATAAACCAGGCCCACCGAAAAAAATTAAATGTGAAATAAAAAGCTAAAATAATGTGTAACAAATAAATTGGTTTCAATACAAGAAATTAATAGAAATCAGTCAGTCGGAAACCGCCGATTTAATTAGTATTGGATTGATGAAAATCCTCCTCAATGAGGTCCAGAAAATTGTTGGCGATGCTGACACACTCCTGAATATATTCCATCCTTATTTATGTTGGTATATTTCAGTGCGTACCTCTTTAGTCGCGCAATCGGCTGAATTATCATATGTGGTCAACTTTTCGCAAACGACGCAACAGAAGTCCAGCAGACGATGAAGACGCGGATAATCAATTATCTGACAGATTGGGGGAACCAATTGAACCTGTAAATAAAATGATGATTTGCAAAAAATATTGCACAACAAATAATTAAGTGTTACGAGTTGATTCTCACACCGCTGCAAACGTTGACGTGCGAGATGATACTCATTCTAAAGAAATTATATATAACAGGTCCAGTGTGACATTCAACTTCTTACCTGAAGAGCGCCATTATCTTCTTCCACAATACCGTCAATTATTGAATTTTCCGATCCGGATTCTGACATGGAATCTGTACCAGAAAAGAATTGTTCCGGATCTCCCGATTTTCCATGAGCTGGGCTCCAAGGGGCACGATGGATAGTCATTATTGTGTTATTGTTTGGAACCCTATAAATTGAATATATACGGATGACTGTAGAAAGTGTGTCGAGACCAAAAAAACGAAATAGTCTGAATGAACAAAAAACGAAAGATAAAACAACCCAAAAAAATTCGGAATTGTAAACTTTTCATACAAAGCAATACAATAGGGCGGATTTGCGCCATAAATGGAACCTCGCACAGCGCAAAGAAATAGGATGGTTTAGAGGGGTAGAAAATGACGAGAGCATCAAGATGCGCATGATCAAGAGTTGTGCAAGCAAAAATTGTGAGAACACAGTCTATAAAATAGTATCCTTTTTGCTTCTTTTTAACTTGTCTAATAGCAAAATTGAAGTTGATATGTTAATCCGTGCAATTGAAAATGTTGAATGTACTGTATTTTCTTAAACTTATTCTAGATGATCGAGTGTAATAGCAGCTTGTATTGCGTCATCGTGTTGCGAACTTTTCTCGGAATCAATCAGACATGTGCCATGTACAAATGCATAAGGTCATTGACAGAGATACATTGAGCAAATGATGATGTTACTGTCACAAGTTATACTCGATGTGTGACCGCTTGCGAGCAGAATGGGCGCAATTGCACAATTGCAACCGATCCGATCTCACATTCGACTTCTTTTTTCTGTGCTATGTATTTTCACACAGTTTATGGTAGCCGCGGGAATGGAAAAAAAAAGTTGCGATGGTCGTATTCAACATGGGTATCCATGTATTTGTTTTTGTGGGTTGTGGTTTGTTATACGGCTTACGGTATTGTATGAAAATGGAGATTCCATGTTTGATCAACCATTAATTTTTGCGAACAGTATGATAAAATTTCAGACTGAGACATTTAAAATCGGTTTTCAAATTTTTAAAATTAATAACTTGCGCTGGAAATTTGGGGGATAATTAAAACATTAAGAATTTGTCTCCCACAAAATGGGTGAAAATTCTTTTATTTAATATTTTGCCCATTATTTCCTTTAGAAAATTTTTCAAAAGTAGGTTTTGCATCCGTTGCACCATGCCGCCCATTATTGTGCAATGGCAGGGTTGCTCTTCGTGGCAATAGCGCGCTAATTGTTAGTCATAATCTAACTGCAGACGTCGGCATACTATTCGCGCGAATGATCGTCATTGACTATCCGTGACCTCAAACATTAGAAATTATGGGTCTCGCTTGTTCTAATTATTTTTGTCTCATTTTTATATATTTCGAATTCACATTTGATTTCTTAAGTTTTCCACATACTTTCAAAGTTTTCAACACGAAAACAAATAAAATGAAAATTTCAGAATTTAGTTGTCAAATTTCCAGTCATTTATCTATTAGAAATTTGTAAATTGACTCCACTTTGTTTCTCATTATTGGAATACTTGTAATTTTTAAAAATCGAGATTTATTAATTAAATTTTGAATTAAAGCACACAATGCTATACTTCGTCAACTTTATCATTATTCTAATGCGTCTTCAATTGGCTGATATGCAAATTACAAAATGTGTCGCATGTATCGATCCTGTTTTTGTAAGTGCTTTGTTCATTTTTTTTTAATACAATCGTTTAATCATAGAACTTCATCGATGTGAAACAACGGAGAGATTCTCCTTTAATTGTGTTCCCCAAGAGAAAAGGACTACTACCATGCGAACAAACAGCCAATCCAGAAATGGTTAGTTAAAATTAAAAAAAAAATCGAATTGTCACGTTAAGGTCGAGTGTCATCACGCATGTTTCAAGGCATCATATCAGTTAACCATTGATTATCCAAATGGGACTTACTATCGTAAGGTCTATTGAATTTAAAATTATGCATTTGGATTTTTCAGCTGGTTATTATTATGACTGCAGTTCATATGTCGACTGGAATCGTCATGAATACGATATAATGTATAAGAATATGATGAATTATTTGAGTTGGGAAGAAAATTTTATGGGTAGCAAAATAGAAATTAATACTTAATGAAGCTGGTTAATTATCTCAAATTTACAGATTTCAGTAAGTTGATTGTTGGATTTTTGCCAGAAACGTCGCTGCATGACCTGCCACTCGGCAGCCCACGGAAAAACGACGACATTCATTTGTGTCTGGGAATGTTAGCCATTATTATTGCGGCGATTCTCGTCGGTTTTGTTGTTTTGTTTATCGTAAATGCTTATATAAAAAACAAAAAAACTAAGGTAAGGATCGTTTTCTGAAAATCATTTTGTATTTGACAGATAATTTCAGAGAAGAGTAGAGGCTCGTCAAAACATGTTTGTCTGCTTTGTGGAAGATACAAAACTCTGATGTAATTTAGTTTGCTATTAATTAAGTTGCTTCGTTTTTGTTTTGCTAGTATAAAAATAAATAATATAGATTAAAACTTTGAAATGCTTTTGTTGTATATTTGTTGTTAGTCCTCATGATTATTATTACCAGAAACTAATACTTACCTATTGCGACATATAAATGCTATCAGCATCACCACAAAATGCGTCTTATAAAAATAGTGATACAAAATACGCTGACTGATTTTTTTTGGTAGCCTATACGATAAAAAAGATTGATGATAACGGAAATTCAAGCTAACACTTTTGAGTAACATTGGCAAAAAACCTTGATGTAACCTTGATCTACAAAAATGCCATTATCAATCTGTTCTGAAGTTTGAAAAGTCTTGTAAATTAGGAAGAATCATGCAACTCAGAGTTTAGAAAATTTTGTCAGTTAACTTTACCATTTCAGTATATGTTATACATATCAATTGTGAAAACATTTTTTCAATTTACATTAATTATGTGAAAATTATTCAAAAAATTAAAAAGTAAACGAAGACGTTCTAAAAAACTGTTTGTATTCTTAGGAAAAAATAATTCAATTGTTTGACAGGAGAGTTGCTATGCTGCTGAGAACTTGAAAAGAAATGGCAAAATTATTTGATATATCTTTCGAAAAAAAAAGCGATTGTTGCATTGAAATTTATTATTAATACACGTAGAAAAATACAGTTGAAATAAGACAAATTTAAGCGAACAGTTATCTCATATAATAATTATTATTACTGATTAAGCGCAGTTGTCAGATCTGTCGCATACTTGAATATTGATGTTGAACTTAAGACCGTCAGGACACTTAAAGTAGTAAGCGATTCCGTTTACGCATCTCACAAATTTGGTGCAGTCTTGAGGAACTCCAAAGAATCCATTTTTAGTGCAGTCGAACTTGTCTGAAAAAATTATCAATTGATTGAAACGAATTATATAATTTTTAATTACCAATGTTCGAACTTTTTGTAGTTGTCGTCGCAGCTGTGGTAGTTGGAGAAACTTCTTCGGTAGTCGTTGTAGATGGAGCAATAGTGGTTGTCGTTGCAATTTCGCATTTTGATTCCTCAGCACTAACACAATATCCTAGAGGTTTTGCGTACTCAAGTCCCGAAGGGCAAGACATTGTGAATGGAACTTCGTTCAAACAGAGCAAGAAGGTGGTACAGCTGCTAGTGTAAGCATAATGCCCATTGGCTCTTCCAGTGCAAATAGTTGTAGGCTTAGTGGTAGTAGTTGGAGCTGGAGTAGTTGTAGTAGTTGTTGGTTTTTCAGTGGTTGTAGTAGTCGTTGTTGGAGATTGTGCCGTCGATGCGCCAATATCAATTCCACCAAGTTCTTTGGCAATTACGCTGATGAGCGGATATTTCTTTCCGTTTGAAAGGCTGCATTTAGCATTGAAGTCGTCAAAGTCTAATGTCCACACAAAGGCTCCTCCGTATCCTTCACGCTTCAACCAAGCCATCTGAAGAACAATTAAATAATTACTATATATGGTTATTTTTGCATTCTTACCTTATTCGAGAATGATTCCTCGTCATCATATGACCAGAATTGATCTCCGTTAACAAGATATGGAACTTGGCTTTCTTGATCCCAATATCTGGTAGCTCCACTATCAAGCATTTCGCAGATTTCGTAGTATGATGCAACTCCAGCTTCTTGGACATATTTAGTAACCTTAGCAGGACTACCAGAACCTCCTGGTTTGGCATTTGCACTGGAGCTCACAGTCCATCCTCGTCCGTACGTTGGCATTCCAATGATAATTTTTTCTTTTGGCATTCCCTTATTGTGCCAATGTTTAGCTGCCCAATCGACGTTCCAAGTATTCCAAATGTTTGGAAGTGCACTGGAGGCGTACAATGGAGAATTGAATCCGATAAGAGATTCCCAAGCTCCGAAGAAATCATAACTCATCAAAAGTATGAAGTCAAAGGAATCAGCGAGGCTTGGAACATTGTAACCGGCGTTAATTGTTTGTTCTCCGGCAGATACGGCTGCAGTGACAAGAAGGCGATCTTTTCCAGTTTGTCTCGATTCCAATTCACAAGCAGCACGAAGTTCCTAGAAGAAAGAAAAGAATGGTTTCTCGATAAGCAACGTCTAGGGGCTTACTTTAATCAGAGCTACAAAGTTGACCATGTCGACATTTCCAGAAGGATACTCCCAATCGACGTCGATTCCATCAAATCCCCAAGTTCGAACAAAATCAATTGCCGAGTCAATAAAAATTTTGCGGCTCGATGCACTAGCAGTCATGCTTTGGAAAAGTCTAGTTCCAAAACTCCATCCTCCAATCGAGAGCAACGTTTTCAATCGTGGATCGCTATTCTTCAAAGCGTTGACGCGTTTGTACATTCCATCTCCAGCCCAGTCGTTTGGAAGGTCGGCGGGATCATAAGCTCGAACAGTGAAATCTTCATTCATCCATCCGAAAGCGAACAAAATATGTGTGCAGAGTCCTGGGATATAATCTTGAGGCAAATATTTTGCGCGTCCTTGCCTGAATAATTAATATCACTAAGTGTTGCTTCTTTCGGATAACGTTTTATACCTATATTGGGCCCAGTTTGTGAAATAGCATGGTCGAATGTAATCGGTTTTTGCTGGAGCTCGAGCAATAAACTCATCGTGATTTTTTGAAGTAGCAACAAGATCAGCCGGATCTGTAAAGAAAGCGAATGTTGATTCCGTATTACACAAAAAGCGTAATGCACCAAATTGAATGCCATAACAGAGAATTTATTCTCTGCGGAAAACTTTGGTCATCAAACTTACGATTGCGGATTCCAGCGCCATTCCATGTTAAGGCCAGTGGTAGAGCACCGAAGAGAACTAACAATTTGATGTTCATTCTGCACAACGCGTGATGTCAGAATAGAGTAATGACACAACTGACGAACTGAATGGTCTGCTCACCGGTGTCCTAATATGGCGTCGCTGGGCGGAGACTTGGCACCTTATTACATACGCAACAAAGACCATTTAATGAAGGGGGTCATAATGAGCTAGGTCATGTGAAATCTAGCAATATGTTTGATCTTTATATCGGATGATCAGAACAGCAGACATAAGATATGGAAGAAACGAATAATCTCACATACATAATAGCGAGGTAACATTGATTATAAATTATTAAATATGAATGAACAATATCTTTGAATCTGTTTCAAAGCATTAAAAGCGATTGATCAGATTGGTGGTCAAAATCTTCGCGAGTTACAACATGAGGAAAACGACGAGGTAGCGGATAATCCAAACGGCGTCGACGAGGTACCGGCGAGTATATATATCTGATTGGTTCTGTATAACTGATCGTTTCTGTCTGCCCATCAACATCGATCTTAAAAGAAGCGTTGATGAGTTCATTTACAAATTCTTACTTGACAGAAGAGCAACAAGAAAAATCCGAGTAGAGTGAGGAGAAACAAAGTACCAACTGATACCAAGATTAAGATTAATGCCAAAGTGGGTGTTATTTTTGAAGGAAGAGCAATAGAGTTGTTTCCATTGGGATAAAATTCGATATAGATCGAGTGACCTGAATAATACTTTTTACTAGAAAACATTACTGAAAAAAATGTGAACTTACCAGAAACATCGCGATTCATGCTAAGAATAACATCGGAATAATTTTGCACCGTTGCTAGTTTTTCACGATCAAACTGGAAACTCCCTTGAACGCAACCCACATAAGCAACTAAAATGTGTTTGTGATTACTCCAGGCGGAACTATTCAAAAATACCTTTTTCAAAAAGAGAACCCGTAAGAATTTTCATACATCCAAGTTCGCAGTTCACCTAATAGCAATAATAATTTTTGAGTTGTTTCAAATCCCCAAAAGTATATGCAAAACATCATTCATTATTTTTAACTGTTTTCAAAGAAAAAACCATCTTTAAAAAAATGCAAGAAATCATAACTTTATTGTTTTTTTCAACTCTTCTATTCAATAAAAATGTTCCATTTTAATGAGCTATCTTTAAAAACTCACTGTAGTCAAATCGAAAGCGTGCTTATTTTGGCATTCTTGTAAATTGTCTGTGTTGTTCACCGGCAATAATTTGTGAATCTCCGAATCGTTTAAAACTTTTTTCTGCAATTTTTACTTATTTTTATTTCTCCGTTATTCTGACAAAAGTATTCGGTGACAGTTATTAAAACACATTTTAAGAAATTTTAAGTACTTATATTTTATTTTTATCGCTAGCCTGTTTAGAGAAGACTTCATCATATTTTTTTTAATAAAATTTTCCATTACAAAAACCTGCATATTAATTCATTGGATGTACTCCTACCCTAATTATTCCCTTTCTAATCTCTATCATTCACTTATAATTGGGCATTTATTAATAGTTTTTGTTCAAACATTGACATGCGTTGCCTTTCGCATATTAAAGAACATTTGTATATGCGCAATGCAAAAGGGACGCTGATACCTAACCTATTGTATAAAGAAGTGCCTTGATGATGTGCCAAAAGAGGCACATTACGCGTCCGTCTTAATTTATGGCTGCACTTAATGGACCAAACAACTCTAATAGGATTTTCGAAGAAAGAGAAAGGGGCCAAAAAACAGGAGAATAATTGCTATTAGTTAATCCTTTTTTTAAAACCTCTTTCGGGTGATGACCGACAATTGGCACCAAGCACTATTTCTATATGGGGTAACACACATCTTTGTTCATTTGATTCTTCCTTGAGGTGCTGTTTTTGTTGGATTTATGTTTGATCCAGGATGCTTGCACGGTGGGTGCATACAAAAATTGTATGAGAACATTGAATTCGGTAAAAATTTTTATACAATTCCTTGATGACATACCTGAACTCACATTTTTCGTAATATTTATTTTTTGCATATATATATTTATATATATATGACAGAAAAATTAACTTTGTTTGCTAATAAAATAATAAGCAACATTGATTTTTATTTTCTCCACAAGATGAGGCAATTTCAATTCTGGTTATTTCTCAGTTGTGGGAAATTGTCGAATGAGTCATCCCAACTAATCAATAATGAATCGCTACAAAAATTCGCCTAATCGACAACTGTCTCAGAAAAGTTGTAAAATAATAATCATTACTTGTTTTATGACGAAGACACTTACGAAAATCATTGTTGAATTTTTGCGGCCGGAAAAAAATAAAATATCAATAAAACGATAACTGCGCTTTTAGTGGTACAATTCTATTTCGAATTGCTCATTTTCAAATGGGTCGCAGTCTCGTCCTACCACTCTCTAGGGAAAACGATATTGTTTTGTGTTCTTAATTCTTTAAAAGCACCATCTGCGCGCATTTTTTTTTCAAAAAAAAAATTCAATTTCACTCACCATTTCTTTGTCGATGCAGGTGATGCATTCAACGCAATCCCCACATGGTGCATTTGAAAGGACAATCACGGTCAAAGCGAAGATGTAGAACTGCATTGCAGCTGGCACCCAACCTCAACAACAGTTCGTTTAAATGGTTGATTTTATTTTTATAGGAGAACGTGTAAAAACAAAAACATGAATCGTTACGAGACCGCAATTCGACCGCAGGCGCGACACGCTGCACTCGATCGTTTTCTTGACGATATATACTTTTTTTGATTTTTCGTGTTTGTTTTCTCTGCAGCGCCCTTTTCTGATTCGCATATTTAATGTGTGATTGTGTGTTGTCGCCTTCTTTTTTTTTCTTCAACAGTTTTTTATTGACAATACGTTCCGTTTCGCGGTAATTTCGATCATTAATTTTTTTTCTTTTGCAGGAAAACTATGAAGTGTTTGCCATTGCTGGTATTCACGTTCGTCATCACGTTCACAAATGCCTATAATGCTTGTGTGGCTTGCATCGACCCGAAATTTGTATGACCGCTGCTAAATTGGATGCTTAAACTTTTTTTCAGTACGAGTTCGAGGATCTTCTGCGCAACACTTCATCAAGAAGGCAATATTTACTTCCAAATCGAGGTGGACTTCAATCATGCAATCAATTCGTATAACCAGATACCGTCAGTTTTAAATAAGTGTTTTAATATTATTGTTTTGATTGGACTATAGCGAGATTGGAAAATGTATGTATTTTTATGATTCCAGAGATAATCAGTGTAACGATGTTATAATGATTTAGAGAGAAATTGTTTTTTTTAATGCAAATTTGGACATTAATTTGATATAAATTAAAAACTAGAGTTCGCAGCAAAGACGCAAACAACAATTATTTTTTTAATTCAAAATTTTGATATATTTCGTAATTAAAATAGGTAAAATTCGTCCATTTTCCTTGACATTGATACTGTAGAAGACAAATAATGATATTAAGGAAATGTGCAGCGCGGCATGTCTCATACTTGAACTCAGATTGGCAGGATTTCAAAAACCAAGTTGGCTTGATAACATCAAAGCAAATTAATGCAACTGATGAATTTTAGTTGCACGCTATTATAACTGCGGATTTCGGGTCTTTATTTCTAGTCCTGGAACTCATCATGACCTCAATTATGTGTGGGGTGATCTCAAATTTACTGATGTGATATCGGGTAAAACCAATTATAATATTAATAAGCATGTATATATAGTCTTTTACAGACTATCTCTTTCTAAATTTCACCTATACCAACAGCAGCACCACCGACGATTTTCTTCCAAAAGGAGAAATGTTGGACAATGTTCCACTAGCCTATCGTCCACTTCGCGCGGTCGTATTTCTAGGAATTCTACTATCAACGGTGGCGACCATACTCGCTCTTTGTCACATTTGTTCAAAAAAGGTTTTCTGAATTTGATGTGTGATTGATTTGAACAAATTGAAAACTTCAGGCCCGAATCAGAGCTATTCCTCCACCAACTCCTCGTCACGTTTACGTCAGGACAAGCCGCAATATTCGGATCGTCTGAAAATCGATCTCCAGCATATGAATTTAATTAACAATTTTTGGCAATAATCACAAGGGTTTTTTATGCAGAAAAAAGTTTTTCAATGTAGAGTTTTATTTCCCAGAAAATATCAACTTACCTTAATTCTATTTAATAAAGTTGAGAAAATATTATTTTTAGTTTTTTTCGTGATATGATTTAAATTTGTGAGCGTTTATTGACACAAGAAAATTGCAAGAGTTGGAAATTTCAATAACAGATGAAATATAGTTGAATTGCGATGACGATCAACGTGAACTCAATTAAATATCGACAACTGGATTGTGCTCGTTGCTTACAATCTTCATATTTTCCTCCTTGCCAGCTTTTAGCTTGCTCAGGAAGATTGCCGCTTTTGTAGTTACCGCTCTTTCCGCTTCTTCGATCTGCAATCTGTTTTTAATCCAAAATCTCTTTTGTTAATAATTGGAGGTCATACCGAGTGAAAGAAAATCTTGACGTACAAATATAATGCAAGAAGGACGGCATCGAAAACGACAGCGCCTATCACATACTTCCATTGAACTCCGTCGAGAAGCGGTCCATCACGCAGCATACTGATGTTTGTGCCATTGGGATAGCTGTGCATTCGCATAAATGCTCCTCCTGAACATTATTGAACAAGTATTTGATTTTTCATAATTCCGTACCATATCTGTAAATTCCATCCATGACCATGTCATCGAAGTGAAGAAAGTAACGCGATGGGCTCCATCTCAACGATGGATTTGGTCCACAGTCATAATAGAAAGCTTGCGGCTCTGCGGTTTGGTTCGACAATATTTCAATCATCTGGCAGGGGTACTTGCATTGAATCTAAATAATTAAGCAGTAAAAAGAGTGAAGATCATATACAATTCCCTCTTACCATTTTGATGGATTGTTGACGATTACAAAAGGGGGAATTGTGAGGAAGAGCACGAAAGAACTGAGTGAGGGAGTACTGAAGTACTTTTGAACGGTTTTGTTTTCTATATTTTTAAACTTACGAATTGCTCATCAACGCATCTGACACATTCGTATTTGAGATCAGGATTCGGCTTCACTGGGAATATGACCAACGGGATTAGAAGAATGAGGGCAAGAAGAGACACGGAGCCCATGACGAAGCAAACGCCGCGGTCGATGTAGTTGTGAAAAAACTCGTAAATGCGTTGATTGAGCGCTGGCATTGCTGAAAGATATTAAAAATGAAACAATATGAAATGAGAAAAAAACATCGAGAAGCGATACGCATTGATAGCACAAAATGCTTATTAATTTTTGTCGTCGACACAATTCTGTAGCAGCGTATTGATCGGAGAAAAAGCCCACCGCCGTCGCCTGCAGAGCGCTGGGGGGCACAGCGATGAGTGACGAACATTTGTCACCCCATCGCCTTCTTCCTTGCTATTCTGAATAAGCGCAGGAAAAAAAACAATAAAAATAGGCGATTCAAATGAATGTTATGAGCACTCGACACTAGATTTTATTGGATGCATTTTTGTATGATTTCAACATTTTTATTCTCAGATTGCAAAGATTTTGAAGGTTTTTTTTCGTTTCAAAACGATCCAGGAAGCCCATCAGATAGAATGATGAGAGCGGAAAATTACTTATAAACTTCAGAGTTCATTGGGTTCACATTGGAAGGAGATGAGGAAGCTAAGCGAATGCTTGAAAGGAAGTGGAAATTAAAATAAAAGAATGGCGCGGTGAAGAGAAGGATTTTCATTGAGACGCTCAGCGAAATGGTTGGTTCACATTGAATGGCCAGCGTCCTGCCCCAACGCTATCACAAACTGTAGAAAATACTCTAGCCAAAAATGTAGATGGACGGATTGTCATAGTGAACGCTTAGTGCCATAATAGATTTGAATTCAAAAAATAGTACATCCTTTCCAAAGTTATCCTAAATTGTAAGTCCATCCATAACCAAAAAAACGACAAAGGAAATGAAGAAGATGACCAATTATACACACGATGCCGCAAAAATTCCAAACTTGTTTGCACATTTCTCACGGTTACCATAAACCGTGAGATAACCCAAATAAAAAAATGCGTCGATATTTGAATGTATTGCAAAACTGTCGACCCCATCATTCGTGCAGGATTTCTAAAAATAGTACGAAAAACAAGTAAGAAAAAATATGAATGATGAGTATATGCGTGACTCAAATTCGAAACAATGGAATCGTCTCGCAGGCATCCGGTGACGAATGAGATGAGTTGGCAAAAATCTCGCAAAAATATGAATATTTACATAAACTATTTTTCGCGCACCAACCGTGTCCTTTTCTTTTTAATCTCAGAAATGAAAAAGTAACGGAAATATAATAAATTAACTCAACATAATTTATCTTAGAAAAATTTGATCGATGATAGCAAGAATGTATCTTTAATGGTCCAGATTGACTTGTATAAAATAATTGACCCGCCTACATTTAAGCATCTTTACTTACTATGAAAAATGATCAACATTTAATGTTTCTGAGATAAGCTTCAGGATCAACATAATAAAAAATATTATATTATGATTACAGAAAAAAGATTCTGCATTGAAAATCTAATTTTCTGCTATAATTTTCAAAAATTTTTAAACATTCGAGACAAATCGCGCTTGTCTGCTACCAAGGTGAATTGTTTTCAAATCTATTGATAGCCGGAATATGGATCCAATTATGCGAAAATTCTTTTTTAGCTTTTTTTCTCGACTATAGTAGCAGACTATCAAATATGCTCAAATTCCGTCGATGTCATATGGCCAGTAAATAAAGTCAGTCACGAAAAAAAGAGTGAAAAAATAAGGACAATATCTTTGCGTACTTCAATACTTTTGATAAAGGTTTCAGTGTTTTTTTTTTAATAAATATTTTTTGCAAAGTTGTAATTTTTGACTGATTTAGCGAAAAACATAACTGAGAATGAAAATCAATCAAAATTATTTCCGTGTAGATCGACTGGTTGAGCATGGCGTATATTTTTGTATCTATCAACTGGTTTCTTTAAATTCAATGTGGATCATGATATCCGTATATTCAAATAATTTACATATTTTTTGGAGGTTTCTTCATTAAAAAAAGTTATCAACAACAACAATATAAAAAAAACTGGGGAGGTTAGAAAAAAAAACAAATGATCATAAACAGACTTATGATATCGATATTATGCAAAACAACTGTGTTACATATTGCGATAGCGCCTCTGAAAGTCTTCAATCACTCGGTAGAACATGAGCAAAATGGTGACAATGTAGATGTATCTGGAGTAACTTTCGGCTGGCAATTTCTTGTCTTTATCGTCAGCATAAGGCGTTTTAACTCCAGTGATGTCGACGTATACGTTCTTTGGGTGATGTCTCACAACAATGCGATAATTTCCTAAATAGAATGAATAGAAATGTGTGAAAGGAAATATCTATATTTCACCAATCTCTGTTGTGTTTCCATTGGGAATACTGTAGACGACAGTTGTTGGTTCATTGCTCTTTTCAGTGAAGCTAATGGCCTCGAACGTGCTGCAACCGAGAGTGCGAGCTGAAATTTTTTTTTCAAATATTTGAGACAATTCAAAGCACATACCTAAAACTCTGCTTGGAGCATATTTATCATAGACCGCAAACTCAATACACGAATGAACGCAAGTCATCTGCAAAACCAAATTTCAATTATTGGAACTATAATTGAGTATGTCTTACAACAGTTGCATATCCGAATTTATTGAGAGAAGGGGCGTCGCAAGGGAAGAATACTTTCGGGATTTCATAGGTGGTCGAATAATTCTCAAGCTCCTTTTCGTGCTACAAAATTGTGACTGATTGAAACGTAAGAGAATCTCGAATTACTTACAAAAAGGCGATCCACACAGATTGGACAGAGAACAGTGTGCTTGGAGTCTGGAGTGGGACGATGATTAGCAGCACTAGAGTACATCAAAGTCATAATGACAATCGGAATCATGTGCATCGGACGCATGATGAGCATTTTGAGAAGACGCAAATGATTTTTGCCTCAATGTTGCAAATGAGAAATTTCTTGAACACACGAGTTTCGGTGGGCGGGGCAAAATCGCGCCGCGCAGCGAGCATTGCGCGTAGAGAAAAAAAAAAGATAAAAAGTATTAAATACAACAAACTTTTCCATCCATATGGAAAGTGAAAAAAAATCTTGCCGGACACTTCAAATTGTTATAGGATGAACGCAATAAGAAAAAAAGTTTGACGTTACTATGCTCATTGACAAAGCAACTACTAGGAAAATCACTGATTTTGAACAGCCCACGCGGCTTTAGGAAGTATGGACTTCATTATTTTTAAAATTAACATAAATGAGTGCAAAGTATAAAGAAATTATTGCCACCGCGAAAAAATGACAATTGTTTAATTTCTGCAAATTACTGTGCCAAGTAGAAAAAAAATCGCTTCGAGATTGTTACCCATCATTCGAATAAAAACGGCGAGATTCCCAATAAAATTAATATTATTTTACCAATATATTTCGTTATTTCGTATAACACGAGCTCAAGAATACTTTATGATAGGCAGTAAATTACAATTAACATCTGTTTGTACAATTTCTAGACGGAATTTTTTTTTATAGCTCTAATAGAAGGAAATTAGACAAAATCATTGAAAGTTTGTATAACATACTCAGCTCGCTTTTAAACTTTTTATAATCGTTATAATTTTAAACTTTAGGTTTTAAGGCACAATTTTTCTTGCTATGTACACGTTTACTCAGTGATTGGTCATGGGTGATTCATGTGTAATTTTCTTAGTAAATCGAAATGCTTGCTGGCGTTCAAGTTTCTTTAATTGACCTAGTGCTATTTGTCTTTTTTATAAACTTTAAAAAGCATCAGCAACAATTTTATCCGTTATAAGAGGGAAGTTTGAAAAACACGTCATTACCGACTACCTCTATTTTTTTTCCATAGGAATAACATGTAAACACAATTTCCAGCATCTGGAAATTCAGATGTTTTCCTTCTGTGTATAAATATTTTCAAATTTAAAATCGGATGATTTGAAAAATTTGTAAAGAAACATATGGTTGCTTTTGTCTATAGAAAGCGCACAAAACAATGCACGCATTTATCCGTATTGTTTCTGTCTTTAAATAGTTTTTTGAAAACAATTCATCTTTATCGCAGACAAGCCCGATTTGCCAGCATAATTCTTTAAAAAATTTGAAAATTATAAGAAGAAAAAACAGAAATTGAACTTGCAACTTGATTTTTGACTATGCAGCACGATTTTTTTTTTCAAATTTTATATACTCATTCGGTTTGTTCCAATGGTATCGTTTTCAAAAAAAGCTATACTCAGGTACATTTCTTGCGCAAATATTCGTGTCTTTACCAAAAAAAATATCACGGGTTGAGGCCGATTCTTTTGTCTTTGTGTTGCCAAACTTTCCCAGACATGTTGCACAACATTTTCTTTTGATCAATCCGCTAGAAATTCGAAAATTTCAAATAATACGAAATGACGCATAGGCTATCGATTTGAAGGTTTCTCAAAGAAAATATGCAGGGTATAGGTATCACATCGAACGACAAGACTGTAGAGAAAATTCCTGTGAAATCGCTTGACTAAATTTATTGCGCAAAGAAAACAATTTTTTCCACCATTGATTAAATTCCGCAACTTCTTTGTAGCTAATCGTAATTGCCAAACGAAATTTATTATAAAATAAATAATAAAAAAAAAAGAAATGAATGTACGGTAAAGAAATGCATGATAGTGGGGAATTGAGAAAACAAATTAATCATCATGAGCCTTGATTTCGTCCGCATCATTCGTCGTGATACGCGAATACAGATTGCTGGGAAACTCCTTGAGCGCAAAAAAGAAGTCCACAGTGTGATGATAAATGCGAATGAAGATGTTCGGATCAACCAGAATGACCTAGAAGATTTAGAGTTAAATAATAACCTAGTTTCGAAAACTCTTACATTGAAAATATCCGAAAGTTTAGTTATGATCATGTGCAGAATGATGAGCAAACAAACGACAAAGAGGCTGACCATATAAAACATATCTTGATAGTGGATGTTATCCAACAAGTCGTAAGTTATGTCGCTGATCATGGTTCCCTTTGGAACATACTTGCTGAAGTACAAGAATTTATCTGAAAAACATTTATGTTAAATGATTCAAAATGTAAACTACCGTCTTCGTTCAATTTATAGATGAGATAATCAGCGAGCACGTCATTGTCGCAATCATAGTATCTTGCTGGAAGTCGTACACCGAACTTTTCAGGATCTACCGCAAGAATGTAGACGCATGAAGTTGGACACTCGATGAGTCTAATCTCTTTGGTATCGTTGCATCGCGGCAACGATCGCTTGCCCTTCCATACGCGAATTTGACGTTTTGTCATATTTTTGAAGAATTCACCGTCAAACTAAATTAAAACATTAATAAATGATTGAAAAAATGAAAGAGACTCCTTACAAAATCGTCATCGATACAGGCGACGCATCGCAAAGCATAAGCGACATTGACTCCAACGATGATAATTCCAATCAGAGTGAGCAGACGCATTGCACACTTTGAGATCGAAGAATTCAAACTTTACTGTGAGGAAATGACCGAGAAAAGGGGTTGGTCAAGACGCGACCGCATTAGCTCCGCCCCAAATTTTTCTTCGCAGTGTTTACTGCTTTCAACGTTCTGGGAAATAGCATTAAATCGAAGAGAGACGTGCACTCTTGCTGTTGAAAATTTATTGAGTATATCTTTCATATCTAATTTCAGACAATCAAATTTACTACGGTAAAGTTCAAATTCAAAAATATTGAATCCTCATGAAGAACGATACAAAATGCGTGGGGACGGACTTTTAAAATATGGGTCTCGAAATATCGTTCATGTATTCGTTCTTTCGAAATTATTTCATAAACCTTTTTTTTTCTACAGAAACCAAACTTTTCGTTTCAATTTTACTATAAAAAATGTTGAATTCAAGCAATTATTCTTTAAATAAAAAATAAAATATAAGCAAACCATATAAAAAGATTGTCGCACTAATTTCTATTAACTATTCAGGCTTTATGTACATATATAATTTTCAGTACAATTTTGTATAATTTTTAGTACAATTTTATTTATCAAAATAAGATTAGAAACAAAAAAAATAAACAGGGTTCTGTTTTTATTCAGTTTTTATCTACAGTGCTCTATATATTTGTCATAACTATATATTTTTTGTCGAATAACTCGAAAACGCGAATAGCTCCAGAAATGGTTTCAATTATAAAAAAAGCGCATTTATTATTTGTTTCATGTTACATTCACAAAATTCAATAAAAAATAACAATTTAAAAAAATCGTCATTTTCATAAAAAAGTGGAAAAATTTTTTCCACAAAACTTGATAAAAAAAAAACAAAGAATAAAGCATCGAGAATTGGAATTTGAAAGAGAATGAACATTTAATAATTAACTGGACCTCCATTGAGTCGTGTTAAGTCTAAACTTCGGCAGTCTTCCAGGCTTCCACGATTGCCTTTTTGAGATCCGAAATCCAACGAAAAGACTTGTTGCCTTCACCATAAACCCTAGACATTTTCGATGGGGTTTATGTCTGGAGAAAAACTCGAGAACTGGGACTCGATGGTTGCGTATTTCATAGATAGTGCGGCGAGCACGATGACAAGGGGCTCCATCTTGCATGAAAGAGTAATTTTTGTGCCGATTTCGACGCCAAAATGGCAACAGATCACGTCATATGACGCATCGGTTGTCAGAACCACTAATCTTCGGATAACGATGCACAACTTGACTTTTCCATGCGAGCTGGTTGCCGCCCACACCATGACGCCACCTCCTTTGAAGTTTCTACGCGAAAACCGCAGCTTCTCTTTTCTCAAATCGTGCCAATAATCACGATAACCGTCTGGCCCATCACAATTAAACTTTTTTTTCATCAGAAAATACTATACGAAAGAAGAAAACGAGTTTAATGAACGTTGCAGTTATTTTTACTTGTCTCCAGTCAGTTCACTGATTCTTTTTTGCAAACTGTGGTCGTTTTTTACAACGTGTTCGTGTCAACATTGCTGCCTTCCTCATTTTCCTGTGTTTGATGAAGTTGCTCTTCGATAAAATACGCCGGACGGTTTCATTTGATTGTGAGATTGAATTCCCTTCGAATCGTTGAGCAAGACACGACCGAATTTGACGCTCTCAGCAAAATTTTTCACGGTCCGAAAGCAGTGAAGGACGACCTGTCGACGTTTTTTTAATCATAAGCGGCTGGATTCTTAGCATATCGGCTAGTAACATTATGAGTGTGTCTCAGTCCCAATAAGTCAATAAGAGAGAACTTGAGACAGCTTTGCTTCAATTTTACAACTTTCAAAATCGTTGAGCCGCATATCTTAAAGAACAGTAAAATTGCAAAAAAATCGAAAAAAAATGCCAAAAAAATGGAGTGGGTATATAGTTATTCGAAGTTACACGAAGGTGCAATTTTGCACAAATTTCATTTCACACAAATTAATCCTCGTTTGGAGTACTTTTTTTTACAAACTTTCGTGGCTGATTTAAAAAAAAAAACAAAAACAAAGATAGTGTGTACGTAAACTATACCAGAAACAAAAAAAATTCGATTTTTGAACTTACTAGCTCAATGTCATTGTTGGATTACGGAAATAAAAAAAAACCGATAAAACGGAAGAAAAAGCGTTTTTTTTTCTATATCCGGTGAAATATTTTCAATTTAAAAAAAATTATTTTCAGATAAACTACCAGAAACACAAAATAAAGAATATTAATAAATGAAGCATTCTAGAAATTGCATTTTTTCATGATTCCGCTTTTGAAAAATTATTTTTGTATTTCCCATAATTTGAATCCTAATCTGGTTCTTTAGGAAATAGAACATACACACTGGATGGATGAAAGTTGCAAACCTGCTCCATCGGACCGTCTTATTTTTCCAAATAAAAACAAAAAATCACCAAAACAATTTTGGCGCGAAAAAAATCCTATAAATAGTGGTCCATGGAGAACATAATCAGCCAGTTTTTTTGCTTTCGGCAAACTCTCCGATTATCTTCATCGTTCTAGTTCGATATAATTCGGGTATGAGCATTGTCAATTTTCCTTGTTTTAACAACTCGTTTTCAGACTTGACATGGCTCAATCATCGCGCATTTACAAGATTCGTTTTAGTAACAATCCGAATCATAACCATGGAGTGCAAGCTGTTCGTGGACAAAACGCTGTAGTCATTCGGCGAGTGGAGCCTGACAACAATCCACGACAACCAGCTGAAAACGTGGGACGCCAAGGTCAGGTTGGAAGAAGACATGGTGGAAACGAGGCAGTGCTTCAACCGCGCAACGGCCAACACTGAATTCATTATCCGCCAAACCACATTTTTTTGCCACATTTGGTTGATTATTTTATATTTTGAATAAATTGTTTTGCAAGAAGAACTACAGAGAGACACAATCTGAAAATTCGAAAAAAAACAATTTGCAGTTTTTTTTAGAAGAGAGCATATTGAGTTGATAAAAATATCAAATAATCGTCGACTTTAAGCATTGTTTTGAGCAAAGCGGAATTATCGCATCGTCGTCAAAACATTGTCCCGATGTGTCGGTGTTAATCAATTGAGCGATGTTATTGGATCAATTCCTTATCTAAAGGTGCTACAGTTGCATCTGAGAGATAATGTTCGAAATTATCGTTTTTGCACGTCTTTTCTCTCATTGAACAATTTGAGAAACACGGATTTATCGAAGACATATTGTTTGATTCGTTGGAAATGAGATCAAATTTTCGCAGTGATTTTACTGTCGGATTCAAATAACTGATTTAAGGTGAAAAAGTTATCTTCTACAAGTATTCAAACTTTCCGGTGAGAAAAGAATTGTGCGTATTTCCGTACCCAGTAAATTTGCTATTAAATCTAATATTTTTTCCTTAGTGTTTCGCATTCCATAACTTATTTAAAACCGACAAATGTATTTTTTAAAGTATTCAAATCGTCGGAATTCAAACAGTTTCAACATAAAATTATAGTCAAAGAAAAGTCTAACTCATTCAAAAATCTTCCGTCTAATCGTTACCCGTTAACGAGACTCGATTGTGAAACTAGTATTACATCAATGTCGTCTACAATTTTTTTCCCGAGAATTAAATGTGTGTCCAAATACCCTCTTATTCTGAATATCAAGTTCATCCCGTGATATGCGCTTATCTACGACTGGACATTCTGAAATCGAAAGTCGACCGCCTCCTGACCTCTATTTTTCACCATATTAAAAGGGCGCCGGGCAATCATATTTTTGCAGTTCAATTTGTTTCTTCGAATAGCCGAAATCACAAATTGTCACGTTTCAGAATGTCTTCTCTCAAACTTTGCCTTTTATTTGCTCTTATTGGACTCGCCGCCTCGCAGTTCAACATGGACTGCAAAATTAAAGTCAAATTTCGTCAGGACAGCCACCAAAAGGTACACCTATAATGAATAACACGATAATCAAATTACCAATAAAGGTAAGAATCGATCTGCTCATTCCATCGCTCTCGATCATGTCGGACCCAGTGATCCTTGATGAATTCAAAGAGGAGAAACATGTTAACGTAAGCTTTATTACAAATCCGCAAAACAAATGCATACGAAAAGACATTGTCTTTAGATCAAAGGAAAGAATTGCGAGAGGAAACACTGGGTGTTTATGATCTACGGCGAAGACGAGCATGGCAACTGGGTGCTCAAGAAGAAGCATAAGGCAAAATTCACTGGACACGGATGGTTCCTCGTTTCGATGGCAGAGAATTACGAGTTCCAAATACTTGATCGCATGGGTGTCATGTGTTCAGAGGGAATGTGCGGAAAGTAAAAATGTAATTACACCAAGACAATTTAATAAATATAATAAAATATTTTTCTTGTGATTTTTGCTTTCATTGTGGTTCATCATCGAAAAAAAATACGAAGAATTTCGTTGTCTTCTTCCTCATTGATCTCGTCATCATCATCATCATCATTGTTGTTATTGGTATTGGCATCGAATTCTTGATCATGAAGCTGTAAAAGCCAGGATGAAAAGTGGATTTTTGTCACACAAAACTTCTTGATCTTTTCGAAAATATGCAACCGCTCTTCTCTCCAAATCAGAAAAGATTTCCTGAGTTAGTTGACCAGCAAACTAAAAAAAACACACTAATAAAATTAAAACAGTTAAAAACTAACATTTTCTATGACAGAAAATGGAGTTTCAACATTGGGATTTTCAGGTTTGCCGTTATAGAAATGGTCAACAAATTGTACTTCATTAGTTGTCTCGACACCTGTGGTCTTGATGACATTTTTCGCATTCTGAAAACGTTTCGAATTAGGGCAATCTATAGAACAACCTTACTTACGTTTTCGATTTGGCGCCCTGCTAGAGCGCCCAACTCGTTTTTTGAAAGCTCTTGACAGTCTTTCTTGCGTTGCAATAATTCGTTGGTAAAGTTTTCAAATTCAATTTCTTCATTTGTCATCCAAGGAGAATGACGAGCAACGTTGTTCACAGCAGCCGCTGCTCTTCTCTGTTTTGCTTTTTCTTCCATTTCCTTTTCAATAGCTTTCTCTTTCTCCTTGAGCTGCGCCGAATAAATCCGTTGAGCCTCTTCAATTTCTTTTTTTTGCATCTCAGAGTAAGCAATATTTAATGATTTTGATCTCGGTGATGTGTTCAATTGCGACATATGCGCGTTTAGAGATTGAGGCTTTTGTACTGTTTCAACTCGGAGAGGTTCCTTTCCTTTTTCGAGCGACGATGAATTTCCTTCAACTATGAAACGAGTATTTTTATCTTCTTGACGTTCTGCTGGCTGGAACGTTGACTTCTCATAAATTGTTGGGCGAATGAGCTTGAAACGATCATCTTTGGGCAATGTGTTCGAAATGATCATCTTTGGTGAAACCCGTGGCTCTCCAATATTCTTATATTTGACTGTGAATTGGGGGCCATTGGTGGTGTGTAATGGACGATCCGGCGCACGAACCGAATAGCGCATTCTGTTGTTCTCATAAAAGCCACCCGTTGTCTCTTCCACAGCAGCACTGTCATTTCTTGGAGCGACGCTTTGATACACTTGAGATGAAAGTTTTGGTGGCTCGTTGTAAATCCTAGAGTTCTTATTGTCCATGGATAAAAGGTTTGGCACAGGCGAGCGATCAGTTGGCGGGAAAACAGGTTTCTTGACATCCATATCAGTGTATAAACTTTTGTTCGACAATGGAGATTGAACGGTGTCAATTTTGATATTTGGAATGTTCATTGGCTGCGTCGCATGAATTGTTCGCGAGCGTTGCAACATTGGCTTTTTCTGCTCTTGGCTCAAATGTTGGTCTTCTTCCTTGATTGTCGACATTTGTTTTTTCGGCTTCGGTTTAATTGAATAATTATAATGAAGGCGTCCGCTAGGTCTACCAAAGCCTAAAAAAAGTCATAAATTTCCGCCTTGAAATATTGAGGTTTTATAGACACAATTTCCATAACAACACATTCAATATTCTTAATTCTCGTGATATTTAAATTTTAATCGTCTTATCAATTTCTTCCACGTTCGCAACAAATAGCTCGGCTGTGGAAATAATGCTCTCGAAAATATATCGAGTGATACTGATTAAAAAAACGCAATTTCAATGAAATTCACAAAGATAACACACAAAAATCAATCAATATTTTTTTTTACATTTATTTATAACGAATGAATGGCGAAAAAAGAAACATACCATTTGACGACGATGACGAAAAAGATGATGATTCTATGTTTGTTGTTGTGCCACGTTGAGCATAATTATCGGTTGGGTGGTATGACATGTTGGCTTCAAATCTGCAAAAGCAATGTCGATTATTCCATTTTTTTTTCACAGCAAAAAAAAACGAAAAGAAAGAAGAAGAACATGTCAGAACGAATGGCATATGCCGCATAAGAGAAATGTGATTTTCTCTATGAGATTCAAACGAGCCTATTATGTCAATGCACTGCGTTCGTATCTATTATGGTGATATTCATCAAATGCGTTTAATGGGAAACACGACGTAGAAAGCGAGACACAATTTAATATGATGCAATCAAAAATTTTGTGTGGCGATGAACGAAAGCAGCCAAATTCAATGCAACAATAAAGGGCGATTGGAGCTGTTAAGGCGGCTGATAAGCGTTTACCGCCGTTGCCATTATCAAGTCGAGCAAGAGTCAGAAACATTTGTACGGTGTTGATAATACGTCTCTATAGAATTATACATTAGTCATTAAGCAAAGTGGGTGGACTGAATCATTTATTCGAGCTAACACCACAAAAATAACATAGAATTTCATGAGCGGAAGAATAGCAATTATTACTCAATGTCTGGCATTTCCTCGAATTCTACAAAATTTTGGATTATTAATGATTTCTGTGTCGGTTCAATTATTACGCTTCAGATTCAGATATTTTGAAGAATCTTCGACTTCAATAGATTCGTCTACTGAAGGTCTGAAAATAAATTTATGAGCCGTTTTCAAAAGGTTCTCAGTGTGAAACCTTGACAAGAGGGACGACATGGATGTGACACAAAAAGTTGTCAACATAAAGGATAGCTCACTAGCGACCTGAATGAAGAGTCCCATTCAATTAATTGTCTGGCTAATTAATAAATCATACAGAAGAACTAGAAATTGCAGTAGAGGACGTATTTGGAGTTGCATTAGCAGTTGAAACTAATGGTAGTTCGTAATCTTCTACTGCTGTAGAAATAGTGCACTCATCTTCATCGCTAGTGCTTGAAAACGAAACGAGAAGTAGACCTTTCGAAAGTAAACCCAAGCTTTTCGGTGATGAGGTTAATCCGGAATTATCAGAAGCTTCTCCTACGGAGTGGCGTTTATCTGGAAAACAATCAATAAACGGAAAAAATGACAATAAAATGCTACCTGTCACCACTGTTTCCACTTTATTCTTGAAATCGAAATCCAAAATTCCATCATGATCATATTCCTCCTCAATAGATTTCATTTGTATTTTTGAATCAACAACGGAAGTAATCACAGAAATTGAGTTTATTGACATTTGGTCATCTGAAGAACAATCAGAAAAACGTTTTTCCTTTTTCGAAGGATTAAGCATGTTTCTAATCTGCATATCTTCAAAAACGTATTGCCGTTTTCTTGACCGGTCCGGCTGAGCTTCGGCATCTAATGGAACTTCGATAACGTCTTCATGATGGCTGTGAGCTTCAGCTTTTTCTTTGACCGGTGTTGGATGGTCATGATGAGCTTCCACATGTTCTTCGGCAGGCAATTCTTCGACAACAACATTTGAAGGAACTTCGATCACGTCTTCATGATGGCTGTGAGCTTCAGCTTCTTCTTTGACCGGTGTTGGATGGTCATGATGAGCTTCCACATGTTCTTCGGCAGGCAATTCTTCGACAACAACATTTGAAGGAACTTCGATCACGTCTTCATGATGGCTGTGAGCTTCAGCTTCTTCTATGACCGGTGTTGGATGGTCATGATGAGCTTCCACATGTTCTTCGGCAGGCAATTCTTCGACAGCAACATTTGAAGGAACTTCGATCACGTCTTCATGATGGCTGTGAGCTTCAGCTTTTTCTTTGACCGGTGTTGGATGGTCATGATGAGCTTCCACATGTTCTTCGGCAGGCAACTCATCGACAACAACATTTGAAGGAACTTCGATCACGTCTTCATGATGGCTGTGAGCTTCAGCTTCTTCTTTGACCGGTGTTGGATGGTCATGATGAGCTTCCACATGTTCTTCGGCAGGCAATTCTTCGACAACAACATTTGAAGGAACTTCGATCACGTCTTCATGATGGCTGTGAGCTTCAGCTTCTTCTTTGACCGGTGTTGGATGGTCATGATGAGCGTCCACATGTTCTTCGGCAGGCAATTCTTCGACAACAACATTTGAAGGAACTTCGATCACGTCTTCATGATGGCTGTGAGCTTCAGCTTCTTCTATGACCGGTGTTGGATGGTCATGATGAGCTTCCACATGTTCTTCGGCAGGCAATTCTTCGACAGCAACATTTGAAGGAACTTCGATCACGTCTTCATGATGGCTGTGAGCTTCAGCTTCTTCTTTGACCGGTGTTGGATGGTCATGATGAGCGTCCACATGTTCTTCGGCAGGCAATTCTTCGACAACAACATTTGAAGGAACTTCGATCACGTCTTCATGATGGCTGTGAGCTTCAGCTTCTTCTTTGACCGGTGTTGGATGGCCATGATGAGCTTCCACATGTTCTTCGGCAGGCAATTCTTCGACAACAACATTTGAAGGAACTTCGATCACGTCTTCATGATGGCTGTGAGCTTCAGCTTCTTCTTTGACCGGTGTTGGATGGTCATGATGAGCTTCCACATGTTCTTCGGCAGGCAATTCTTCGACAACAACATTTGAAGGAACTTCGATAACGTCTTCATGATGGCTGTGAGCTTCAGCTTCTTCTTTGACCGGTGTTGGATGGTCATGATGAGCTTCCACATGTTCTTCGGCAGGCAATTCTTCGACAACAACATTTGAAGGAACTTCGATAACGTCTTCATGATGGCTGTGAGCTTCAGCTTCTTCTTTGACCGGTGTTGGATGGTCATGATGAGCTTCCACATGTTCTTCGGCAGGCAATTCTTCGACAACAACATTTGAAGGAACTTCGATAACGTCTTCATGATAGCTGTGAGCTTCAGCTTCTTCTTTGACCGGTGTTGGATGGTCATGATGAGCTTCCACATGTTCTTCGGCAGGCAATTCTTCGACAACAACATTTGAAGGAACTTCGATCACGTCTTCATGATGGCTGTGAGCTTCAGCTTCTTCTTTGACCGGTGTTGGATGGTCATGATGAGCTTCCACATGTTCTTCGGTAGGCAATTCTTCGACAACAACATTTGAAGGAACTTCGATCACGTCTTCATGATGGCTTTTTTTTTTTTTTTTTTTTTTTTGTGGTTTTTGTTTGTTTTGGTGATTTTCCACATTTTCTTCGGCAGGCAATTCTTCGACAACAACATTTGAAGGAACTTCGATCACGTCTTCATGATGGCTGTGAGCTTCAGCTTCTTCTTTGACCGGTGTTGGATGGTCATGATGAGCTTCCACATGTTCTTCGGCAGGCAATTCTTCGACAACAACATTTGAAGGAACTTCGATAACGTCTTCATGATGGCTGTGAGCTTCAGCTTCTTCTTTGACCGGTGTTGGATGGTCATGATGAGCTTCCACATGTTCTTCGGCAGGCAATTCTTCGACAACAACATTTGAAGGAACTTCGATCACGTCTTCATGATGGCTGTGAGCTTCAGCTTCTTCTTTGACCGGTGTTGGATGGTCATGATGAGCTTCCACATGTTCTTCGGTAGTCAATTCATCGACAACAACATTTGAAGGAACTTCGATCACGTCTTCATGATGGCTGTGAGCTTCAGCTTCTTCTTTGACCGGTGTTGGATGGTCATGATGAGCTTCCACATGTTCTTCGGCAGGCAATTCTTCGACAACAACATTTGAAGGAACTTCGATCACGTCTTCATGATGGCTGTGAGCTTCAGCTTCTTCTTTGACCGGTGTTGGATGGTCATGATGAGCTTCCACATGTTCTTCGGCAGGCAATTCTTCGACAACAACATTTGAAGGAACTTCGATAACGTCTTCATGATGGCTGTGAGCTTCAGCTTCTTCTTTGACCGGTGTTGGATGGTCATGATGAGCTTCCACATGTTCTTCGGCAGGCAATTCTTCGACAACAACATTTGAAGGAACTTCGATCACGTCTTCATGATGGCTGTGAGCTTCAGCTTCTTCTTTGACCGGTGTTGGATGGTCATGATGAGCTTCCACATGTTCTTCGGAAGGCAATTCTTCGACAACAACATTTGAAGGAACTTCGATCACGTCTTCATGATGGCTGTGAGCTTCAGCTTCTTCTTTGACCGGTGCTGGATGGTCATGATGAGCTTCCACATGTTCTTCGGCAGGCAATTCTTCGACAACAACATTTGAAGGAACTTCGATAACGTCTTCATGATGGCTGTGAGCTTCAGCTTCTTCTTTGACCGGTGTTGGATGGTCATGATGAGCTTCCACATGTTCTTCGGCAGGCAATTCTTCGACAACAACATTTGAAGGAACTTCGATAACGTCTTCATGATGGCTGTGAGCTTCAGCTTCTTCTTTGACCGGTGTTGGATGGTCATGATGAGCTTCCACATGTTCTTCGGTAGGCAATTCTTCGACAACAACATTTGAAGGAACTTCGATCACGTCTTCATGATGGCTGTGAGCTTCAGCTTCTTCTTTGACCGGTGTTGGATGGTCATGATGAGCTTCCACATGTTCTTCGGCAGGCAATTCTTCGACAACAACATTTGAAGGAACTTCGATCACGTCTTCATGATGGCTGTGAGCTTCAGCTTCTTCTTTGACCGGTGTTGGATGGTCATGATGAGCTTCCACATGTTCTTCGGCAGGCAATTCTTCGACAACAACATTTGAAGGAACTTCGATCACGTCTTCATGATGGCTGTGAGCTTCAGCTTCTTCTTTGACCGGTGTTGGATGGTCATGATGAGCTTCCACATGTTCTTCGGTAGGCAATTCTTCGACAACAACATTTGAAGGAACTTCGATCACGTCTTCATGATGGCTGTGAGCTTCAGCTTCTTCTTTGACCGGTGTTGGATGGTCATGATGAGCTTCCACATGTTCTTCGGCAGGCAATTCTTCGACAACAACATTTGAAGGAACTTCGATAACGTCTTCATGATGGCTGTGAGCTTCAGCTTCTTCTTTGACCGGTGTTGGATGGTCATGATGAGCTTCCACATGTTCTTCGGCAGGCAATTCTTCGACAACAACATTTGAAGGAACTTCGATCACGTCTTCATGATGGCTGTGAGCTTCAGCTTCTTCTTTGACCGGTGTTGGATGGTCATGATGAGCTTCCACATGTTCTTCGGCAGGCAATTCTTCGACAACAACATTTGAAGGAACTTCGATCACGTCTTCATGATGGCTGTGAGCTTCAGCTTCTTCTTTGACCGGTGTTGGATGGTCATGATGAGCTTCCACATGTTCTTCGGCAGGCAATTCTTCGACAACAACATTTGAAGGAACTTCGATAACGTCTTCATGATGGCTGTGAGCTTCAGCTTCTTCTTTGACCGGTGTTGGATGGTCATGATGAGCTTCCACATGTTCTTCGGCAGGCAATTCTTCGACAACAACATTTGAAGGAACTTCGATAACGTCTTCATGATGGCTGTGAGCTTCAGCTTCTTCTTTGACCGGTGTTGGATGGTCATGATGAGCTTCCACATGTTCTTCGGCAGGCAATTCTTCGACAACAACATTTGAAGGAACTTCGATCACGTCTTCATGATGGCTGTGAGCTTCAGCTTCTTCTTTGACCGGTGTTGGATGGTCATGATGAGCTTCCACATGTTCTTCGGCAGGCAATTCTTCGACAACAACATTTGAAGGAACTTCGATCACGTCTTCATGATGGCTGTGAGCTTCAGCTTCTTCTTTGACCGGTGTTGGATGGTCATGATGAGCTTCCACATGTTCTTCGGCAGGCAATTCTTCGACAACAACATTTGAAGGAACTTCGATCACGTCTTCATGATGGCTGTGAGCTTCAGCTTCTTCTTTGACCGGTGTTGGATGGTCATGATGAGCTTCCACATGTTCTTCGGCAGGCAATTCTTCGACAACAACATTTGAAGGAACTTCGATCACGTCTTCATGATGGCTGTGAGCTTCAGCTTCTTCTTTGACCGGTGTTGGATGGTCATGATGAGCTTCCACATGTTCTTCGGCAGGCAATTCTTCGACAACAACATTTGAAGGAACTTCGATAACGTCTTCATGATGGCTGTGAGCTTCAGCTTCTTCTTTGACCGGTGTTGGATGGTCATGATGAGCTTCCACATGTTCTTCGGCAGGCAATTCTTCGACAACAACATTTGAAGGAACTTCGATCACGTCTTCATGATGGCTGTGAGCTTCAGCTTCTTCTTTGACCGGTGTTGGATGGTCATGATGAGCTTCCACATGTTCTTCGGCAGGCAATTCTTCGACAACAACATTTGAAGGAACTTCGATCACGTCTTCATGATGGCTGTGAGCTTCCGCTTCTTCTTTGACCGGTGTTGGATGGTCATGATGAGCTTCCACATGTTCTTCGGCAGGCAATTCTTCGACAACAACATTTGAAGGAACTTCGATCACGTCTTCATGATGGCTGTGAGCTTCAGCTTCTTCTTTGACCGGTGTTGGATGGTCATGATGAGCTTCCACATGTTCTTCAGCAGGCAATTCTTCGACAACAACATTTGAAGGAACTTCGATCACGTCTTCATGATGGCTGTGAGCTTCAGCTTCTTCTTTGACCGGTGTTGGATGGTCATGATGAGCTTCCACATGTTCTTCGGCAGGCAACTCATCGACAACAACATTTGAAGGAACTTCGATCACGTCTTCATGATGGCTGTGAGCTTCAGCTTCTTCTTTGACCGGTGTTGGATGGTCATGATGAGCTTCCACATGTTCTTCGGTAGGCAATTCTTCGACAACAACATTTGAAGGAACTTCGATCACGTCTTCATGATGGCTGTGAGCTTCAGCTTCTTCTTTGACCGGTGTTGGATGGTCATGATGAGCTTCCACATGTTCTTCGGCAGGCAATTCTTCGACAACAACATTTGAAGGAACTTCGATCACGTCTTCATGATGGCTGTGAGCTTCAGCTTCTTCTTTGACCGGTGTTGGATGGTCATGATGAGCTTCCACATGTTCTTCGGCAGGCAATTCTTCGACAACAACATTTGAAGGAACTTCGATCACGTCTTCATGATGGCTGTGAGCTTCAGCTTCTTCTTTGACCGGTGTTGGATGGTCATGATGAGCTTCCACATGTTCTTCGGCAGGCAATTCTTCGACAACAACATTTGAAGGAACTTCGATCACGTCTTCATGATGGCTGTGAGCTTCAGCTTCTTCTTTGACCGGTGTTGGATGGTCATGATGAGCTTCCACATGTTCTTCGGCAGGCAATTCTTCGACAACAACATTTGAAGGAACTTCGATAACGTCTTCATGATGGCTGTGAGCTTCAGCTTCTTCTTTGACCGGTGTTGGATGGTCATGATGAGCTTCCACATGTTCTTCGGCAGGCAATTCTTCGACAACAACATTTGAAGGAACTTCGATCACGTCTTCATGATGGCTGTGAGCTTCAGCTTCTTCTTTGACCGGTGTTGGATGGTCATGATGAGCTTCCACATGTTCTTCGGTAGGCAATTCTTCGACAACAACATTTGAAGGAACTTCGATCACGTCTTCATGATGGCTGTGAGCTTCAGCTTCTTCTTTGACCGGTGTTGGATGGTCATGATGAGCTTCCACATGTTCTTCGGCAGGCAATTCTTCGACAACAACATTTGAAGGAACTTCGATCACGTCTTCATGATGGCTGTGAGCTTCAGCTTCTTCTTTGACCGGTGTTGGATGGTCATGATGAGCTTCCACATGTTCTTCGGCAGGCAATTCTTCGACAACAACATTTGAAGGAACTTCGATCACGTCTTCATGATGGCTGTGAGCTTCAGCTTCTTCTTTGACCGGTGTTGGATGGTCATGATGAGCTTCCACATGTTCTTCGGCAGGCAATTCTTCGACAACAACATTTGAAGGAACTTCGATAACGTCTTCATGATGGCTGTGAGCTTCAGCTTCTTCTTTGACCGGTGTTGGATGGTCATGATGAGCTTCCACATGTTCTTCGGCAGGCAATTCTTCGACAACAACATTTGAAGGAACTTCGATAACGTCTTCATGATGGCTGTGAGCTTCAGCTTCTTCTTTGACCGGTGTTGGATGGTCATGATGAGCTTCCACATGTTCTTCGGTAGGCAATTCTTCGACAACAACATTTGAAGGAACTTCGATCACGTCTTCATGATGGCTGTGAGCTTCAGCTTCTTCTTTGACCGGTGTTGGATGGTCATGATGAGCTTCCACATGTTCTTCGGCAGGCAATTCTTCGACAACAACATTTGAAGGAACTTCGATCACGTCTTCATGATGGCTGTGAGCTTCAGCTTCTTCTTTGACCGGTGTTGGATGGTCATGATGAGCTTCCACATGTTCTTCGGCAGGCAATTCTTCGACAACAACATTTGAAGGAACTTCGATCACGTCTTCATGATGGCTGTGAGCTTCAGCTTCTTCTTTGACCGGTGTTGGATGGTCATGATGAGCATCCACATGTTCTTCGGCAGGCAATTCTTCGACAACAACATTTGAAGGAACTTCGATCACGTCTTCATGATGGCTGTGAGCTTCAGCTTCTTCTTTGACCGGTGTTGGATGGTCATGATGAGCTTCCACATGTTCTTCGGCAGGCAATTCTTCGACAACAACATTTGAAGGAACTTCGATCACGTCTTCATGATGGCTGTGAGCTTCAGCTTCTTCTTTGACCGGTGTTGGATGGTCATGATGAGCTTCCACATGTTCTTCGGCAGGCAACTCATCGACAACAACATTTGAAGGAACTTCGATCACGTCTTCATGATGGCTGTGAGCTTCAGCTTCTTCTTTGACCGGTGTTGGATGGTCATGATGAGCTTCCACATGTTCTTCGGAAGGCAATTCTTCGACAACAACATTTGAAGGAACTTCGATCACGTCTTCATGATGGCTGTGAGCTTCAGCTTCTTCTTTGACCGGGGTTGGATGGTCATGATGAGCGTCCACATGTTCTTCGGCAGGCAATTCTTCGACAACAACATTTGAAGGAACTTCGATCACGTCTTCATGATGGCTGTGAGCTTCAGCTTCTTCTTTGACCGGTGTTGGATGGTCATGATGAGCGTCCACATGTTCTTCGGCAGGCAATTCTTCGACAGCAACATTTGAAGGAACTTCGATCACGTCTTCATGATGGCTGTGAGCTTCAGCTTCTTCTTTGACCGGTGTTGGATGGTCATGATGAGCTTCCACATGTTCTTCGGTAGGCAATTCTTCGACAACAACATTTGAAGGAACTTCGATCACGTCTTCATGATGGCTGTGAGCTTCAGCTTCTTCTTTGACCGGTGTTGGATGGTCATGATGAGCTTCCACATGTTCTTCGGAAGGCAATTCTTCGACAACAACATTTGAAGGAACTTCGATCACGTCTTCATGATGGCTGTGAGCTTCAGCTTCTTCTTTGACCGGTGTTGGATGGCCATGATGAGCTTCCACATGTTCTTCGGCAATCAATTCTTCGACAACAACATTTGAAGGAACTTCGATCACGTCTTCATGATGGCTGTGAGCTTCAGCTTCTTCTTTGACCGGTGTTGGATTGTCATGATGAGCTTCCACATGTTCTTCGGCAATCAATTTCTTGGAAACCAAATTTGATGAATCGGAATAATGGTTATTATGTAGTTGCATATTTGAAAGTTGATCACGTTCTTGATTTTTAACAATTGTCTGATAGAAATTTTTGTTAGCCAAGCCATGATCTTCGTAGCAATCAAAGTTTGTTTCAATATCTGGCATATCTTCTTGACGAATTTTATTGCCTCTTATTATAAACGGATTGTCGCGGTTAGACTCAAACCATATGTTATGTTGTTCAAGTTTCTGAAAACAAGTAGATTTATAATTTAAAAATATATGGAGCATTTACGTTTTGATTCCAGCCGTACGGTCTGGCTTCTCGCGAGCTTGTTTCAACCTCATCTGATTCAATTCCATTTATGAGCCGTGTGATATCTTTCTTAGTTTCTTCATGAAATTTTCTAGTAGAACTTTCTAATGAAATAGTTGTTTTTTCAGTATCATCTGAAATATTGTTTATCTAAAAATAATTAAAGGCTGTCTTACGTTTTTCCTCTTTTTCGATGAATTTTTTCGCTTCAGATCTCCAGTCAAAATGAAGTCTTGAAGAATTTGAAGATTTTGGAGGATGTTTATAACGTAGTAGTGGTGGTAGGTTCAATGACTTTAAATGTGAAGTGTTCTCAGATTTTGCAGAATTATTAGTGTTCTCAGATTTCGCATTATTATCCAATTGTGGTGATACCGCAGGAAGTGCTGATGGTGTAGTTGAAGAATTCCATGATTCAGTTGAGAGAACTTCTAATGGTTTTGAATAAAATTCTCTTGGACATTCCACCTTATCATATGCACCCCTTTTTGAGGGTTCTGCTAATTGTACAGTAATATTTGTTGGCATATGGGCAGCGGTTTGTGGCCCCTTATCATCGTTATCCTGTCTTTTCCTGACTATTGCCTTCCAATCATAATGAAGTCGTCGTGTTATGTTAACTTGCTTCAACTGACTTATCGGACTCGATATTGGGCTCGTTCTTCTATGTACACAGTGTTCAACGGACTCCGCGAAGCGTACAGTTTTCTTTCTGGGTTTTGTTTCCGTTAAATACGGTAAATCACTTGTTGTGCTTCCTGGTTAAAAAAAAATATTGTTAAAACGGGCGGTTTGTGCAATTTTATTACCATCCGAAAACGATTGTAGCTTACGATGATAGGTCTCGGAAATATTGGTTTGTTGGAGATTATTAATGTTATTCCCAACGTTTCTGACATCGTCCAGATATTTCAAGCATTGATCGTAGTGTCTATTCGAGTAGACATAATTGAGCTTCTCGTATACATCCGTCATTCGAGAATTGGGTTCGTCGTTTACCTTAAGATTGATACAATATCATTTGATCGCAAATTAACCGCGTGACGTTTTTTAACTGTCTTTCAGTGTTTTCAACAGGAGCCAATCAAATTTTTTATCTTATCAATGTTTTACGACAGTTATTAATTTTGAATGAAAAAGAAATAGGCCATAGTTTGATTCGTTTAATAAATTCGTATGTTTGGGAATGAAATGTGAATATTTAGATATTCAATTTTTTAACTATTGAAGCCAACGCAAAAGGAATTTTTTCGTTGGTTGATTACGAAAGTACACTTGAATTGGGGGGTGGGGAAGGGGATTTCTTTAATTTAAAAATTGAAAATAATAATTTTTTTAAATAATTCTTTTAAAAAGTTTAAAGGAACGCATTGAAAAGAAAATGGACAGATATGGAATGAAATGTGCACGAAAATGCATTTGCAAACAAGAAAAAATGGGCGGAGGTTAAAGAGGTCACGCAAAAATCTTAGCGATAGTTTAACGCTGACGACACCTGCGCCTTTAATTCATGTCATGTGATTGTTTTCAGGAATATGCTTATTATTCAGAACCCATGTTTTAAATAAATGTACTAGCTCCCTCATCTATATTAATATTTTCGTCTTATCGCTACAATGAATCATCTTATATAAATTATTTTAAATACACTAATTCGAATTATTCCTGTTGAACTTACCCTTTCCGCGTAATTTGTTTTCTGATTGTGCCAACTCATCAATGATTCACGCGAAATTGATCTGAATTTCAAGAATTTAAAATTGATCTATGGAAACGTGAATATCAAAGAATATTATTTTCAATGGAAATACAACCATTACAATTGCAAATGTTGATAAATAAATGAATAATAATCGGTTTTTGACAGGAAGATGCATACTGAACAAACAATATCGAAACATATGACTTGAGAATGTTGTGCTTAAGCACATAAAAAAGGGTGAAAAAAAGCGGTTTATCACTAGAATTTAATGATGTGATAACGGCTGAAAGAAATGATTAAAATTGCCGGGTTTTTTGTTTAAAAACATTTGTTATCACCAATCTGCGGAATTCATTTGACATAAATTCCTTAACATCGAATTTTAATAGAATTTTTATTGTAGCAATCACATTATGTTTTATCACAATGAACAAATAAATATGTGGAGAGCAGAAGGGAGAGGTTAAGACATTTGGCAACTTTTTAAAATTGTGAAAAACTGAACAAAAATGTCATGAAAGACATAACAATTCAAAATATATTAGTGCCACAATTTTTTTTCAATATCATTTTAAAATTCACAATGATTTCTCCATGCGATGTTTTCTTTCAACGTGTGCGCCAACAATTTCTCCAATTGCGTTAGCAATTGATTGTGAATCTATTTCAGACATATCGATGTATGATCCAGCCGATGGATTCGGACTAGTTGTGCTATCCATTCGAGTCATGTCAAGCTTCGGTATTCTGAAAATATTACCGAAATGGGAAATAGTAAATAACATCTTACTCCACATGATTTTCACGATGTTTCTCGTGTTGTTTTTCTTCCAGCTGGCTCTGAAGCTCCTGGATTACCGCCTGGAGACTGTCATTCTCAGTTCTGAATCGCTTTATAATCTGTTTAATAGCAGAATAAATTACCTTAGTAAGGATAGTTCTTTATAAGCCTCTTGCAATTCAATACTGATCGCATCATATTTTTCCAGGTTTCTCATATTCTCTTCGAAAAGCTCTTTTTTCTCTTTCTGCAGTGCTTGCACAGCCTCTTGACTTCTGCTCTCAGCTTCTCAAAACCATTAATGATATGATAAAATATCAATCAATAGCAGATTACCCTTTTTCGCCTGCTGTAATACCCGCTTCATTTCTTCCTCCCGTTTTTTCGCTTTTTCTTGTATTTCAATATAGCTATCTTTGATGTTTTTCAGCCTCAATTTAAGCTGCGAATTCTGTTCAGCGTATTGTTTTGCAAGCCTAAAAATTCCAAAGTACAATAAGCTTGATAGACTGATTGTACTTAAGCTTCTTAACAGTCTTATCGTTAACTATTGTTTTTGTCGGTTCATTAATATTATCTTCGTTTTCGGAACCCGAAGAATCAATCTCGTTCATCGAAGCCTTGTTCTCTTTTCTTATCTTCGATCGATCATGATTCATCTGCTCAGGCTCTTCCGGATAGTCGCTTTGTTCCGTCCAGTCTGAGTCATAATCATTATTGCCCGTTGAGTTTCCTCTCCCAAATTTTCCGTTTGTGACTTCGGCAAGATTCTTACGAAGCAAGCTGGAAAGAAATAAAATAATCTCATTTTTTTTAATCAAACTCTTACTCCAATTCTTTTGATTGCACTTGAATAATTTGTTCCTTCGCCATTTCATTTCGCCTTATCGCTGTTAAAGTCCGTGCCATATGTGTGTCATTCAGCTCGGCGGGTTGAAACTAAGCAATTATAAGAATTATCACACCAGCACGCAATACCTTCGAGGTCACAAGACGTTGTAAATATTTCTCTCGTTTTTCGGAATCCCTCATGAGCCGCTGCATTTGAGTGTGCAGCACTTTTTTTTCGTTTTCAATGGCCGCCATTTTCTGGAAAAGAAGACTCACTTTGAGAACAAAACAACCGGAAGTGTTCAACCTTCTTTGTGTCGAATAATTCATCTCTCAAGTCGTCAATTCGTTCGCGACTAGGTGATCTGCCGTAGACCGATTTTACCAAGCTTCGCGACTCGGACTGCGAACGCTTTATCGCACTAGTTGTTCCTCGTTTTCCAATATCGACAAATTTGCCGTTTTGATAATTCGATAATCCGGCCAGCGAATACTCTAAAATCTTGAATTTTAGGAAATTAAATTTTTTATATCGTTTTTACGAGTTGTCATCGGTCTTGAGTTCTTCAACGCCGTTTTTGGACGGCTATACGCCTGAAAATTTATGGATTAGTGACGAGCCGCGTTACGAATGAATGACCTTTCGAATTGCCTCAGCACTTTGCCTCGATTGTTGGGAGACGACAGGTGGTAATTTACCTAGAAAAGCGTGCTATTTATTATATCGACACGACTTCAATATTTTCGACATCAGTAGAAATGAATTATTTCCGATGCAAACATTCGTTTATGAATAATTGCATGTCTTCGCTTATCAATAAATAATATTAACCTTATTTCAAAAAAAGAAGTTACGAAATCGGATGGAAGGTTTTTACTAGTTTTTCTTAGCGTATTAGCTCTCAAAAACAGTAGTATTAACTATAATTATTTTGCATAATTATGCTTACAGTAATTAGATTTTCATCTTAAAAAAATTGAGAGAAAATGTAAACAAAAACAAAATTGATGATTTTTATTGACGTGCAAAATCCAACAAAGTTTCATTTAGTAAGATACTTAGTAGAAAAATTAAAACATGATCTACGTTTTGAGAAATTTTGAGTTAAAAAACGTATTTTTTATCAGACTGAAGATAGTTTCAGAAAGATATCAATCCGCGGAAGCCATAAAACACTATTTTAAACATGGCTCAGATATATTTTGGTTCAAAATTATGGAGGTATCAAACAGAGATTTATTAAACGATCAATGAAACCTACATCTATTTCAACTGTTAAAAAAATAAATTTCCGGTTCAGTTTAGCATGATATTATATGTAAATTGCATGCTTTATTAAATTCTCACAGCAGCAAAAAAATAATAAAATGACCGTTTATGGATTTTTGAAAAAATTTTATAAAGGCTTACCGACTTTATCAACCGATTTGGTTCTTCTGTCCGGCATTCTTTGTTATTATCTAGTTCGCTACTGGTCAAATACTCGAAGGTTCACATACAAGAAGGTGGAGATTAGTCAAGAGCAATTCAAGTCTTTATGTCGAATGAACACACGCCAGAGTGTTCTCTCGCTGGCCTCCGGTTAATTGAGCTTCAGCGGTGTTGTCGTGGCAACCGCATGCAGTCTCGCCGGCAGCGAAACGCTTCCCAATAGAAATGAAGCGAATGATGAGGGACTGACAAGTTGACCGCTATTACTAGTAATGTGATAAATGCGGCCTCTATAGCCCGCCCAATGCGAAATTCATCTACGCTTGCACATTTAATTTAGTGCAACTGAATAATATTAAGAAGTTCCTATAGGAATATCTAAATTTTTCTCTAAAATACTTGTTTATAATGTTTTGTTGTAAGAAAAAATTGTAAAAATAATTTTTAGTTTTCTATTGAATTGTTGATTTATGAACCAGATATGCTATTCTCAATTATTGGGAAATCGACTACTATTAATACGCTTCTGAACGTATTCATGAAGAATCCTAAAAAAGTTGCACTTTCACAAAAGAAAAAACTCAATTTTCTTTTTTTTTCAATGACACATTCTACGGAAGAAAACAAATGACCTTTCGATGTTATGAAAAATGTTTATGAAGTGCAATAAAAACGGCTGACTGAAGAATTAAATCATGGGCGATAGTTGACGGGAATTTTTTCGCTGTTGGACGGAGCTTCTGTAATTAAATATATTGAAACAAATTATGATGACAACTTACTGGTTTTTCTATTGACTTTAATACCACAGTAGAACGCTTCTGGGTTGAACAATAACGTAATAAATCTAAATTATTCAATAATTCTTATCTCCACCTTGCTGTAGAAAAACCCGTCACTGTTATGTATGAAGACCCACGTGAAAGTCGTTAGAAAAAATTTTGACCATTTTGAATCCTGATTGACATATGACAGCATCCCGAAATACGTTATCATTCCACAGAAAAATACCAATGATTGAAAGCAGGTCTGCTTTAAGAAGTTGACCTCATACGCCATTTTCCTGCTTCTGGTGATCTGGATGAGAATAAAATACAGATTTGCTATTATTTTCATCAAAACTTTTTTCTTAAACTGTCGAAATTTTGATACGGTTACGATATCGATTAAAATAATAAACAATATGCAAGAAAGGTATTTGATAACATTGATGTTTGAGATTGTGTCGCAAAGAGCGGATACAGTGAAGACAAATGACCAGTAATCATTTTCATATTGTAAACGACATGAAGCTTAAATGTGAGAAATTTTTCGCGCAGAGTTATTAATAACATACTGAATCCGTAATTAAAAATAGTTGGTATAGCACCGATAAAGAAATAAGCAACAATTATCAATTTTGTGTTTCGTTTGCTGAAAAAATAATCAAAACTACATATAAACATTTTTGAGATTTCATTTTTTCTTGATAATTTTATTGGTACATTTTCGATATTAAAAGAACAATTTTAGATAATTTTCGAGAAATGTTTCAATACTTGAATCTCAATCTATGGCCAGATGAACATTAATCAAAATTTTGAAAAAAAAAATTGCCGAAATAATTTACCTAAAAATTATATCGTATTTAATTGGAAAATAAATTGCTGCAAATCGATTGAACGATATCAACATATGAGAGTACGCCGATATATCATAGATGTACACGATTAGTTGTCCGCAAATTGCCGAATAGTAAATGAGGAATTCAATTTGACTAAAAAGTTTTGACTTTTGACTATCTTCAGTTAGCCAACGAGAATACTCACAAAAAGCACATTGGAATATAATAGAATAAGAAAATTGCAAAATAAATAGCATCTCCAAAACTCTGACAAAATGTCAATTTTCCGAATCCGTTCTGCATTTTTGGCAACTTTCGCAATCTGATAACCACTGTCAAATTGCAAAGTAAACCAATTATTGCTAACTGCAATTAGATCAATTCAAATATTATTTAAAAGCTAAAAGCCTACCGGTAATATAGATAACGCCGCAAGTTGATGTTGTTCCATTCTTTTAGAAAACATGCATTCAACTGCCTTGACAAACCATATTTCTTATATATGAAGTGTAAAACAAGTTAGTTTCGAGAAAATCATCAAAGCAGAAGAATTGATGAAAATGGGTATATAACGTTGACTATGATTCTGATGCAATAGCATATGATTCAAATGCAATAGATTTCCGAAAATAAATCAAAAATAATTTTGAAATATCGTAAAAATAAAGACTTATCATATTCCGTTTGAATTTTGGCGTATTTTGTTTCGATTGATTAAAACATTTATTTTCCAACACTGTTCAGACTTGTCTTTTTGAGTCAATCATTTAAATTCTTAACCTCGCTTCAAAAATAATTTATTCAGAAATAACCTTAATTATTGGAAACATATTGTTTTTGTATTTTCCAGCGAAATTGGAGCCCTGACCGGCTATATTTTTTGAATAGAAATAATTTGAAACATATGTGGATTTTTTCCGGGATACGCCACAACTGCTTATTTGTTGTTTTGTGAAATTAGCGGTGATAGCAATTTTAACAAAAATTTACCGGGCTCCTGTATTTTTATAATCTTGATAAACCATAAATCAACTGTTACTATATTTAAAAAAAATGACAGTCACTTTCTTTTCAATTCGTTAGTAGCTACTTTTTATGAATTCGTTCTGAAAATATTTTCGTTAATATTTGAGATAAAACTTTAATCTTCACTTGAGTAATAACAAAATTGGTAAAATTCATTGAACGGAGTTCAATATCTAATCTTAATCAAAATTAATTTTTTTTCAATTTAGTCAGATTATCATTATTTGAGCCAAAATTGGTTTATAAGTTTAATGTCTCAAATTCGTATTGTATTTTCTCATACAATAATAAAAAATATATGTGTTTTGTTTTATGCGTCGTGCAGTCAGCGTCGTGTCAAGCCGTACATGGAACTCAAAAAAACCCACACGTTTACGAACACAATATCATGAACGATGCAAATGATGAGAAAACCGTCGCTGCTTTTTTCCTTGAAAATTGACTATACGATGCTGAGACGTCGAGGATTTATCATTTTTAGTGAATTCAGCGAAATATCAATTTCAGTTTGCTGAAAAATTATTAGAATTACACTTTTGGAAGAAGTTTCTCGAAAATGATGGAAATGGGTCAAATTTTACCGACGATAGTGTCCAACTCGGCAAACGTTCTTGTCGAATTTGTTTCGAGGATATTTCAGATGGGAAATATCAATTTGTAAGCTGAGGACGAGAAAAACAAAACTATATTGCGAAATTTGAAAAAATAAATATTTATAATGATATAATATAAACTGAACAAAATCGCCAAATTACAATAATTAACGGATAAGTGGTAATAGTTAATGGATGTGAGGATTCCGTTTTAGTTATCTTGTTTTTTATAAATTAAAACCACCACATAGTCAATAAAGTGTGACTTGATAATTTATTGTAGTTCGGAATGCCAAATTAAAAAAAAAACAATGAACCCATCAAAACCGTCTCGCAGAAAAGGTTCATTTGCTTTAATCTTCTAAGCAAATGAACCATTTGCTGCGTGACTGTTTGACAGGTGGTCTGAAAATTGGAAGAATATTTTTGCTTGCAAACAAAACTGTATGCAATTGAGCTTTTAATGATTTCTGTTGGTAAAATCTAATGACTTCCCAACAGCTCGGTTATTCGAAATTTGACGATGGGATAACAAGACAGACATATAAACTTTCCAAATACTTAGAAGCAACATTTAATCATGCAGTAACGATCAATTTGTCTTTAATTAATTTCGTTAAATTAGGAAATAGCTTAAGAGACCGCAAAGCAGAAGCTGCCAAACAGTGACCGCTAAGAACAATTTGAATATAACTTTTCACTGTTAACAAAATCAATATTAAATGCGAAAATCGCTTATCTCAGCTGTCTCATAAACACAATATGCACATTTTCTTTTTTTTTATTAAACGAAATCTTAACTTGCATACTGGACGACATTAGCCTATTCCATCCGGTAAGGAAATTCCCACATTATGAACAGAAATTACAGATTATATATTATCGCGGAAGAAATAAGGACAATTGAGTCTTACCGACAGACTCAATGCTAATGAACGATCATTGACAAATTCACCATAGGCGTTTAAATCGATTACGAGACCATTGACCCTCGTTATAGTTATAATTCGGAGCATTGTTCAAACAAATTCAAATATTTGGAATCTTAATTATTTTTTTAGTGTTTCAATAGAAAAATGCACCTATTGCATCATACTGGACAATCAAAATGTCGGGAGGCATCGCCGAGAAACGTCGTGTCAAACTGTGCATCGAACTCGTAAAAAATCGACACGTCGACGAAAATGAAATCATAATCGAATCACCAATAACGATGCAAATGATGGGAAATACGGTCGTTTCGTCTTTGCAGTGTCGATTTATGGGCGAATCGTGTCTGCGTTGACATGTCTCATCGAAGCACCAAAAAAATGTCGCGCCTACTGTATAAAAAATCTGGGCGATGATGTCATGCGAAATTATTAAAAAATGTAAGGTTTCGAAAGTATGGAAAAAAATTTAAAAATGAGATGGATAGTCTTGCCAAAGGAAACAAATTGCCACAAATGCAATAATCGACATTAAAAGGATCGAGGTCCCGATTGATCCTAAAATTCGTCAATAGCACTTAAAACCAATCGAAATGTGTATTTCTATTGGTTCATAATGGAAATATCTTACACGTGTACAATTCAACCTATTAATCGAGAGGACATTAGGATGCGCCGAATGATAGTCGTCGAGCTTGTACGACAGCACTTTTTATAGTCGTCTTTTTATGGGATGAATTGAAATAAAATACGTGGCGATGCTATACGAATATCAACGGATTTTTTGTTGTTTAAAAATTAATGGTAAAATATGAATAAAAACTTAATGAATTGATATATCTCAGAAAAGGAAATCAATCAGGAGTAGCTAATATTCTAGAAGAGGCAAATTGAATTCGGTACTAAATAGAACACACTTTTGACATTATAGTTTTATTTCGAGTGACAAGAAATCAACTTATTTTCCATTTATTCATGGAATTTAAAGAATTTTTTTGTTTATTTATATCCTAAATAGTTTTTTTGCAACTTTTCTTTTGTGTGATCAAACACGGTACCTTTCATCATTCATTTTGACAGTACAATCGCAGAGGAAATAGAAACGGTATATTTTTGTATCGTCGCCTCGTGCCTCTTTCTTTCATTATGGGCGGAGTTCCGACGCGGCGCGGACGATATTATAGTTGAGGAATGTAACTATAAAAGCCATGAATCAATCGTTCGCTGGCGTATTTTTGCGGATCAGGTAGTCATTTCAACGAATCAGCTCAAAAATTTGAGCACGTCCTGATAATTCTGATTATTTTAGATTCCCTGTCTTGAAGTAGATATAAGGAAGTCATCTCTACGCTTAAATTCAAATCAAATTAAATTTAGCGACAAAGAAATATGTTAAACGGATATAAAGCGGGCTACTGCTGCATTCGAGGAGGTTTTCGAGTTTGTCTTTCAAAATGTTATCGCCACGCGTGAACACTTGTTTTTTTTCTATTTTACGTGAACTGTTTCATTTATAAATTTGTTGTTTTTGTCTTTTTGGTTACTAGAATTAAAGCTTGCCGAAATGACCAAGAAATTCTAAATAACGCGTTGGTCTGGGCGAGATCATGACGAAAGACGTTTCCCCCAAAAGGCAGAACAATTTAACGCAGCGCACGAAAGATCCATTGATGATTTTTCAGATGAAGACAAATCAGGACCGTGCACCAGTTTTTTCATTGTTTTGAACTTCAGTATTTAATAATTTGAACAATGAATAAAAATTTTCCAGTTTTTAAGAAAAAATTTTAATAGTTTTTGATGGGAATGTTTCCAGGATCTTGAAGAAGATAATGGTTGAGAAAGTGTTTTCCAAAAAATCGGCAATCAGTCATTCTCACAGTCGTAACACTGTTTCTTTTTACATTTAAAAATGTTTAATTGTATCACAACTGCCCACCGTTTTGCTCGTTGACACAAACTCGCAAACAATTGTTGCTACATGTGATGCAATTCATGAAAAAAAAAAACAAAAACATTATTCGCGCGGGGAATTTTTTTTGTCTAGTAGTCTCTCGTGAAGACATGATATTATTTATGATAAGATCTGATGTTATACATCCACGCGCACGTAAACGTGCACAAATTTTAATGTAGCCAGTAAATGATCTATTGGTCACTGCGTTACCTCACATTCTATTAGTACAATCGAAACAATCTGCCATTTTTACGCGCGTTTTTATTATTGCTGGATTGTTTAAAATATTTTATGTTGTTTTCTCTGATTTAGATATTCGTTTCTCGATACAAATGTAACAATTTTTCTTTTTATTTATACTGTAGATTTGCGCTACAGTATACATTCAAGTTGCGCAGTTCAAATTTTTGCCTTCCACTTAATTCAACCTTTTTTGGGTAATACATTTCAGTCACTTAATAATTCGTAAAAGACGAACCGCGAATTTGGTATAAACAGTGTGAAACCGGACTAGTTTCCAAAAATATACACTTTTCGCTCCAAAACTTTCTCACACTATCAGTACGACACTCCATTCACACATCACCCTCAATTTAGCGTGTCTGGCTAGATCGTAGGCGACGCTTGTTTCGACTAGTTGGATTTTCCCTTGTTTGTCCCAGAACGTTCCGCGGATTATCCCAAACCAAAAAGTTCCCGCTGCTCGTAGAAACCATTCACAAAAAAAAATAGTGTATGTATGTTCATACCAGATGCGCTCTCGTTGACATTATTTTGATTGCGTGTATTTATTTTGACCAACGAGAATTCGCGCCTCTCGTTGTCTGCCACTCATACCAAATCAAATGTAGTATGCGCATTCCTCATCATTGTTTTACAGCGTTCATTCGACATGGACTCTTTCAATTGCGGAGGAACGCCATATCAAAACGGTGATACTCAAACATTGGGTAATTCCGGTGTTGTATATAAGGTATGTCTATCAAAGGATTGAATTTTGATAGTCTTAAGGTACAATTAATTAGTAAAAAACCATTCCAAGACAAAATGTATTTTTTTTATTGAGATTTCTGATTTCAGATGAACAATGATCCTAACAACCTGTCATATCAGGAATCTCGAAAACCTCATGACATGTCGAGCTTGTATATGCTTCAGATGGTAAGTTGATGAATTTAGTTCATGCGTCTTAAAAATTTTCAAAATTATCTAAACTTCAAGATTTCAAAAAACAAAAATAGTGCATAAATATTACCATTGCAAAGAATTGAATACCCCTGCTGCTTCCCGAACATTTTGATGCGTTAATTTAAATATCAGTTTAAACTGTGGGAACTCGGCACTGCACTATAAATAACCTGCCAATCAAATACTTAAAAATTACAGGAACGATTATGCTTGTAATACTATTTTTATCACTTGACTTATTATTGAATTTTAATATCACATTTATGCACACGAAAAATGTACATTAAAATGTTTCTATGAAGTAAAATTCAAAAAAAAAATTTTTTTAATATTTCGAAAGAATTAATGTATATATACAAATTAAATTGTTCAAATAAATAAAAATCTCAATTGCAGTCTCCACCACCATTACGTATTCAATACGACAATGCCACGGAATCACCACCACGAAGGGGCAGAAAACCTAGTCGAAACACTAAAACAGAAAGAGCCAAAAAACCAACTGCATCGCAATCTCGTCGAACTGCTAATGTTCACAATGAACAATTGTCCGATCCACTGGTGCCGTCAGGGCAAGTCGCACGTCAGCCACAGGTCAGGCAAGGAGCAAACCGTCGTGTAAAAATTATCTTTGAATTCGTTCTACATGAACAAAAAAAATTTAGTCAGCGAAGGTTGTGAACCAAGATAATAAAGCAGTAAGAACAGCGGTTCCAAGATCGAATGCTAAACAGAGAGCACCGCAAAGACGACCTATTTCAAATCTTAAGTGGGTACGTGACTAACAAATATGTTTCAATTTGAATTCGAAAAATAATTTAGGTAAAGACTCCACCAGAGAAGAATAATATCAATGAAACATATGGTCAAAAAACTCAAAGTAGAGATCCTTTCAATAATCAAAACCGTCCAGACTTCACCAGTCAGAATATAGCAATCAATAAAACAAATAGTCGGGACGTTACAATTGAAAATGTATGCCTTCAAATATCTTTCAAAAATTCTAATAGTTTTCAGGACGAGGAATTTACAGAAGTGAGTTTTATCGAATATGCAAATGACCAGCCCAAAATCGTATATCGGACTCCAACTTATGCAAGCTACCTTCGTCAGAAAGCCGGCGGTTCCACTCATAATTCGAATAGCCAAATAAACAGTCAAACAACTCAAAATACTGACCATTTGAACAGCCAGAACCGTCCAGACGTGATCAGTCAGAATAATGCAGTCAACGGATCAAACATTCAGACCATTGCTTCAATGGAAAATGTATGTTTCAAATAGGGTTTAAAAAAAACGAAATAATTTTCAGACAAATTCTCTTGGACGTCCGACAGTCACGTATGAGACGCCTGCTGTTGCAAGCCGCTGCCAACAGAAAACCGTCACTTCTCTCTCTAATTTGAATAGCCAATTATACGGTCAAAAAACTCAAAACATATATTATTTGAATAGTCAAAACTGTATGCACTTTACTGGTCAGAAAAAAGCAATCAATGGGGCATATAGTCATGTCACGGCTTCAAAAGAAAATGTATGATTTCAAATCTGATAATAAAACAAAAAATAATTTTCAGATAGGAGAGCATAATCAAGAAAAAGCTTTACAATATTCCTTGGGACATCCTACAATCACTTATGAGACGCCAACTGTGGCAACCTATAATAAAAAGAGAACGGTTGCGTCCAAATCGAATAGCCAAATAAACGGTCAAAGAACTCAAAACATAAATCGTTCGAACAATCAGAACCGTCAATGCTTTACCGGTCAAAATAAAACAGTCAATGGACAAAACATTCAGATCATGGATTCAAAAGAAAATGTAGACTTTGAAATCTAAATAAAATAAAAAAATAATTTTCAGAGAGAAGAGTTGAATCTAGAATCAGTTTCCCAATATTTGTTAGAGAATTCGACCATCACGTATGAAACTCCAGATGATGCAAACTATCATCAACAGAGAGCCACCGCTTCCACACATATTCCCAATTCGAATAGCCAACAACATGGTCAAATAACCCAAAAAAGAAATTCTTTGAATAGTCGAAACCTTCGAGACTGTACCGGTCAGATTAAAGTAATCAATGTACCAAATAGTAAGACCAAGGCTTCAACGGAAAATGTACAATATCAAACCTTTTTAAAATCATATAAATATCTTCTTTAGGAAGATGCGCTGAACCTAGTTGGAGCCTCGCAATATTCATTTGGACATCCGACAATCACGTATGAGACTCCAGCTAATGCGAACTACTATCAGCAGAGAACAATCTCTTCGAACTCTCGAAGCGTTACTGGTCATAGTAAAGCAATCAATGGACCAAATAGTCAGGCCAAGGCTTCAATGAAAAATGTATGCTTTCAAATCTGATTTGAAAAAAAAAATAATTTTCAGACAGTAAAGCATAATCAAGAGAATGATTCAATATCTTCATTTGGGCACCCGACAGTCACGTATGAAACGCCAGCTGTTGCAAACTACTACCAACAAAGAACCACCGTTTCCACACATATACCTCATTCGAATAATCAAATATACAGTGAAAAACCTCAAAAGGAAAATGTTTCGAATTCTCAGAACCGTCAAGGCTTTACCGTTCAGTATAAAACAGTCAATGGACCAAATAGACAGGTCATGGCTTCAATGGAAAATGTATTCTGCTTTTAAACATATTTTAAAACACATAAACAATTTTCAGAAAGAAGGATTAAATCTAGATGGAGTTTCCCAATATTCATTTGTACATCCGACTATAACGTATGGTACGCCAGCGGCTGCAAACTATAATCAACAGAGAATCGTGGCGTCCACTCCCCATCCTAATTCGAATCGCATAATAGACGGCCAAAATACCCAAAACATAGGCCCATTGCATAGTCATAACCGTCCACACTTTACTGGTCAGAACAAAGCAGTCAATGGACTAAACAGTCAGACCATGGCTTCAATGGAAAATGTATGCTTTCAAATTTGATAAAAAAAAACGGACACAGTTTTTAGGCAGGAGTGACTAATCAAGAGAAAAATTCACAATATTCATTTGGACATCCCACTGTCACATATGAGACGCCAGCTGTTGTACACTATAATCAACAAAGAACCGTTGCGTCCACTCCCCTTCTTTATTCGTATAGTCAAATGAATGGTCAAATGGTTGAAAACATGGAACCCTTGAATAGTCAGAACCATCCAGGCATTACCGGTCAGAATAATGCCATCAATCAGGCAAATAGTCATGTCATGGCTTCAATCAAAAATGTAGACTTTCAAATTAAAATTAAAATATAAATAATTTTTTTAGAAAGAACCGTTGAATCTAGTTGGAGTCTCCCAATATTCATTTGATCATCGGACAATCACGTATGAGACTCCAACTAATGGAAACTACTATCAACAGAGAACCATCGCTTCCACTCCCCTTACTCAATCGAATACCCAGCAAAATTATATTGGTGAAAAATTGCCGAAATTGACTATGGCTCAAACTAAAGTTGATCAAAATCCGTTCCCCGAAGACTTCCTTGAGGGTGATATTTCTGAAATGGTTCCAACTAAAGAAGATAGCGGGAAAGGAGCTGTATCGATTTCGAATGAAACAAGTTCAGAAAAATTGTGTTCGAGTTCTGTTTCTCAAACACCGGGCATCGAGAATTTTGATCCATTTGCTGACGGTTTCGGTACTGAGCCATGCTTCGAAGAAGTGATGTCTGATTTCAATGAAATGCAAGTGAAACCGCCCGTTTGGAATTCAACCCCAACAAATATGCGCGACAACCAAGTTTCGGTTCCATCATCAAACGTCATCGGACCAACTTCGAATTTTGAAAAGAATAGTACTGAAGACAAAAGCGTGGAAACACCCATCTTAAATTCGAATTTGTCAAATGCGGTCAGCTGCCACTCGAGTTCCCTTTCTCAAGAATTGAGAAACGGTATGAACGTTTTGGATCCAGTCTATGGTGATTTGAGTGCGCCGACGTGGTACACAAATGCCCCTGTGAACGCTGCCTCAATTGAAACTGGTGCAATGGACAACAATCAGGTAAAAAAAAATTTGAAAGCATTTATTCTTACACATCTCAGAGAATCCATCGTAAATTTGTTAACACATACACTTTCTGCAGCAAGTTCCATCAATGTTGAACCAAAATGGATCGAATCAAGAGCAACAATCTTTGGGAACTGATGACAATTCTAAAATTGATGATACCCCGTCATTGCTGAATTTAAATGTGCCGCTTGCGGTAAACATTGTCTGAAAAAATTTTTAATGAATAATCGTTTTATAGGTTGATTATTACACCGGAATCGAATTAGATGGCAAAGCTCTACAAACTGGTAAAGAACAGTTCACGCCCAATTCTGAGCAAGGAATGTGTTATGCTGAGCCGCAAAATTTTGCTAGGAGCAACCAGTATATTCACAATGTGCTAATACAACCAGTTGGAATTCCTAAAAAGGTACATATAGCCTAATTACATAAAATAGATAAGAATAGATAAGATCATTGCAAAATAACAGATTTTTTTTTAGAAAATTTTCAACTTTAAATGAATATTACTTGCTTTTTTGAAAACGAAATCTGAAATTTTTTTTTGCTTTGAATAAACTTGATGCACTAATCAAAACAAAAACATTACATTTTTGCCAACGAGAAGCAAGTTTATCTAACCACAATTGTGAAATTACATTTAAAATTTGCAGGACGACAGTTGCACTGTTCCCTCGTCTACTTTGAGGGGACCACCCAGCCTCAATAAAACATGTCAAATGAATGGACTCAACACAAATCAGTCGACCAAATTGGCAAGCGCTAAAAACGAAGCTTTCAAAAACAAGGAAAAGGTTAATTTTGAATTTGTTTTTTGTAATATATTTCACCATGCTTTCAGTTTACACCAAATGGTTCCCCAGTAAGATACGTGAAGGATGAAAACGGCGTAGTACGAAGACTGAAAATTAAGCGTTCAAACAGTGCAGCGCAAAGTCATTCCATCAAGAAAAAGAAGAGAAACGAAGACGCCTAGAGTCAGGGTTTCTGTTCAATTTGCTTTCAAACCAAATTTTTGATTATATTAGCGTTGATCAGTGCAATCGATTTTTAACCCCCATTAATTACACATTACTAACTACTCTGTGAATGCACGACTTTCCCATGTCAATTGAATATTTGATTTCAAATTTTAATAACCGGTATTTATGCATTTGTGCCATACAAAAACCAACATTTGTCAAATCTTGCAAGTATTTAGAATTATTATTTACTAGCCATTTCTTAAATTGTCAAAAAATTATAAAATTAACGAGCATAAACGATTTCCTTGTCAATAACGTATTGGTAAATGATTTTTTGAGGCATTTGCTCATTTAAATTTTTGTTGCAGTTTCAAAAACAAACTGTCTTGAAGAACGGGTTTTACACATTACCAATTCTGTTCTTTGAGCACAAATAGAATATGATGCTAATTGATCTCACCAATAAAAAAAACAACACCTCTTAGCCAATCTACCAGTCAGTACTCGGTTAACAATTCTCGACAGGTAAACGAGTATTGAAAGGCAAATTGGCTTTGGGCATCTGAATATTAGAAGCGAAAAATAGGAAGATCCTTGAACATTGCTGAATGTTATTGTATTTCGGAAATATGTAACACGATTCATATAGATTTATGAATCGTATATTATTTTGACATGCAAAATGTCAATAATAGAATATAGATGGAAAAGTTTTCGGTCGGGGAGCTAAGCAGGTGAAATTTTCAACCGTGGTCTTATTTCAGAAATATGTTCAAAACGCACATACACATTTTGACGAGGAGAGGAAGTATTTTTTTGATTGGAAATACACAACATTACTCGAAATAACACGTGCAAAACATATGTTTTTTTTTATGAAATAAGGAAAAAGTTTATTAATACTAATTTGAAGGTCACCGCCAATTTCATGTTTCAAAGAATATGTGGTGAAAATAAAAATAGGTTTTTGAAAATGAAGTTGATTTTATATTCCCACAGGTGGCCCAATTCAAAGAGCACTTTATTATATGCAGTTTATATTGCTAGGTGTGAGAGAAGCGGAGGGAGACGTATTCATTTCAAAACTTTGTGGGGTTTTGAGTTTTGAACAAAACTACGTCTTTTGAGGAGACGAACAAAAGGTTTTTCGAGAATTAAATGTATTAAAATGTGCTTGAACTGAGATCGTTTGAATAATAGCGGCACGGCTTTGATGAGCGTTCTCATCCTTTTAAGATGCCGACATTTTTTCCGTTTCTTAGAATATTTTATATTTATAACCATAGTTAGTTAAGTCTATTTGAAATGTATGAATAGTGATCAATGAGCAACATAACGCTGAAAAACCAAAGCTAGCAGTCATTATAAAGATTTTTTTCGTAGATTCACAGTCCAACACATTATTTTCTGAAATTGTGTACGATTTAGACTTACAATACAAATATCCATAAAGTTTTATTGATATCAGTTTTCTATTTTATTTTTTTATTTCATGACGTTTACCCACATTGTTATACCTAAACGTATCAAAATTTTCAGAGTTATTATAAACAAGAAGAAGTGGGGGGGGGTAAAAAAAATTCTCATATATCAATTCTATTAACTTTGCAACCTCATTCTGCCGTTGTTTCAAAATATGGCCTCAGCGCTCAAGATTTGGAAAAAATAAATCCATAGCCGCTCATATTCAGCGGCTGTACTGCCATCTCGAATTTTCAATATATATTTTATTGTGAACAAGACGGAAAGTTTCGTTCAACTTGACAAAACGTTCCGCTTTAAGTACGTGTATGTATAGTCTTTCACAAAAAAAAGTTTCATGGAGTTGTTTGTTTCCTTGAGTTTTACTCAATATACTTGATTTTTCATGCTGATCAAATGATGTAAATGAAAAAACAAATCGCTATAATTATATAACTAGAAATGTATGCCGTGGCCGAACTGTCACTGATCACATAGATATATCGTAACGTGATATGGGGTTCCCCATTTGTGACGTAGTAATGGTCAAATCAGTTCTATTATGTTCCGGCTGATTCTTTTTTATTCCTTCTTCCCTATATTTGAGTGAATAAAGGATTAGTACTAAACTGGTTGTACTTTTCCTTCATTACAGCATGCCAATGACGACGATTTACTGTAATACTCTTTAAGAATAACGCGAAGATTCAATTTCCACCCGGCGTTCAATCAATCAGCAGATGCCGCTTAATATGTACAAAATTCGCGTTTGCACTTGGAATACCTTACGTAGGCATGCGAGAGAGATATGCATTTCGATTCGCTAACAATCTATTTTTCATTATCTCGTCGACTTTTTATAAAAGCCCACCATTTATTCATAAAAAGACGGTTTGTCCGAAAATTTCTTTATTGATGAATAGATAGATAATGCGTCTCAAAATGTCACCGTCTTCTTTGTGAAAAACATTAATCGTTCAATGTGAACAAAGAAGATAATTATTAATGTGAATTTATAGTGTTTTCTATTATTATTGCAAGTATGAGATCACAAATCAGAAAAATATTAACATTTGTTCCGAAGTATGTATTTATTATTTTTCTGGTAGATTCAAACTTATGTAAAAGTCGGCCTATTTTCAATTAATATTATATTCAAATTGAGAAATTCATTATGAAGATTGCGAAATTTTAGCGGAGACACACAACATTTCGGACGATTATTATGTGTTCATGGTAAACGAAGATCCGTTTTCGTAAAAAGTGCAAATTTCACTTTTCCGCGCCACCCGAAAACGGTCTGGAATATCTCATTGTTCGGCACTTATCGAATCCGCCGAGGTCATCTTCCAATGAATGGCAGGTTTCTTGTTCACGGACGAAAATTTTATTTTTTTTTTAATGATGTAGGCGTGTTCCGAGTAGTTCTCCGCCCAGTATTGAAAACATAAAAAGAACGCAATAGTTGACAAATTGTATATTCTTTTAAATCGACGATTGGATTGTTGCCGAATAATCACATCGCCATCTTCATAAGCTACTGAGACAATTTTATTCAATGTTCCTATCACAGTCTGACATTCAACATACGTGTTACCTGCAAAGTATTGAAAGTGTAGCACGTAGTCTGACTGTCAGACAGTGTTTGGTCCAATTGTTTATCAATTTAATAAGTCAACCCTTCCGCCCGTTGCGGGTATGATCCAATTCCCACCTATACATTAAATTTTTGGTGGAATGGTCCATACACGGAATGGCTTGGTAGACTTACTTGAAACTTGATTTGCTATCATTTTTTTTTCAAGTTTTATTCGCACAGAGACGGAATTTACAATTTACGAATATCCCGTCAAAAAGATGGAAATCTTAATTGAAGCCAACATTTTCTTTGTAAACACATTTTTGATTAATTGAGTACTCTTTATTAACAATAATGAAGTTTAAAAAATTTTAACTCGCTAAATTTTTTAACTACAAAAATAACACCATCAGTACTGCTATCTTGAATATTTTGTTATTTCGCTTTTTATTTCGTAAATTGGCTGTAATTCAAAGCTTGGTAAAACGGGAAGAATCTGTACAGTTGTGCGATTACTCTCCAAAGCATGACAATCGGTTGCATCGAATCATTTGACAAGACACTGTTAATCTACCTCGCCAAGTTCCAGATTAATAAGCAACAATACAGTTTCTCTTTTGCTTTTACCTGACACGAATATGGTTTACAACTGAACGATAATATTGACGCCATTAAATTCTGTTCAACTTCTATTCCTGTTAACTAATACTACTTCGGCAATAGTCAGGTAGCTAGATTTTATCCATCTTATGGAAGAAAATAATCGAAAGATCTGGTCACCAGACAGTTGTTTGAAGAACATTTGAAGTTAAGAAAATGAATGAAAAAAAGATAATATTTTTCTAAAACAGTAGAAAATTGATATGATTAGTTTAAAAAGACAATAAGTAGTGCTGGCAGTATCTTTAAAAGATTTATTGTAATTCTTAATGACTGTTAAATGTGATATTTTCCCCCGTTAAAAAGCGATAAGTTTAACATAATTAGCACCGGCTTATAATGCGACATCTGGCCAAACTTGAGAAATTTGATATCTGTTGAATAGCTGACATCTGGACATAATTCAAATTTTGAATTTTACAACTAACTATTGTCACTACCACCTGTTGCAAACCATATGAAATGATTTATTTAAAAACGAAAAAGTCATTTTCAGATTAATATGGTTTTCTTAAAATCCGAATTATCGATGAAAACTGAATGTCAGATATTAAATCAGATGCCGATTTACGTATCTGAGGTGTTTCAGGAGAAAAACAGTAGATGCTTTATAATTTTGAACGCAACTAACCTAGTAGCTCTTTGCTACAGATAAATCTGAAACTCGTATGTTATTAAAGACATCTGCTATATCTATTTAAAAAATAAACAAAACTTTAACTAAAAATAAAAAAAAACCTTGGCTAATAAATTATCACAATTTACAGCAACAATGGGTTGCTGAACGGCTTAGTATATCTGCACATTTATCACTCACAATAGAACACATCCAAACATTCTTTATTTGTTTAATTTTGATATTAGTTTCACACAATTTAATTTTTGACACTTGTTTTTTTAATTTTATCACTTCATCAAAAATTTTGTGAATCAATAGTGTCTCAACATACTTCATTCGAGATTTTATCCAAAGGGCGCATGCTTCCACCCTGCGGTTTTCGCGTTAAATCAGGATTATGGGGCGGAGCTTATTCACGTTTTTTTTTCGTCTAAAAGCACTCTCAAAATTCTAAGAATCGGATTAATCGAATCATTTGACTAGACCCCATTAAACCACACTTCATTTTCATCTGCTCTTGCTATTGCTACTCGGGAGCTATTGCTCGTTTTCTAGCTACGAACCCTCCGATTCTTCTTCATTGTGGATTACTACTATTCCTGTTGGCCGTTTCTATTTCACCAAATGTCAGGTTGTCAGAGGTAGCCATCTTACGCCAATATACGTAAAGATGACTAAATCCGACCACCAGACAGTTGTTTGAAACACAATTTTAAAATTTGGAAAAATCAGACATGTAAAAAGCCGCGGCGTGCACACAAGACCGATATTCTGTCCCCGCCGTGTTTACTGCCTTTGGACAAATGTTGGAGTCAATTCAAAAACGACCCAGAAAACAATACGAACACTCCAGGACTACGAGTGAATGACCGTAGCCTCACACACCTGCGGTTTGCAAATAACATTGTGCACATAGCGCACAGTCCGCAGGCGGAATCAGAAATTCTAAGTGAGATGATTGCGAGATGCGAACAAGTATGGCTCCAGATTAACGCTGGAAAGGCAAAAGTCCTACGTAACCCCTTCGCAGACTCCGCCAAGGTTACCCTAACGCGCCAGAATTTTGCCTCTCATGAGTCTGTCGCACTCGCCTCGGAGGGAGATCACCACAAGAACAGCTGAAGGAGCCGTTATCACCACGTGTTCCACACAAGCCAAAGACCAAAAAGCTTAGAAAGCCGTGGTTCAAATTTTGTGAATCAATAGTGTCTCAACATACTTCATTCGAGATTTTATCCATAGGGCGCATGTTTCCACCCTGCGGTTTTTGTGCTAAAGCAGGATTATGGGGCGGAGCTTATCCACGTTATTTTTCGTCTCCAGGCACTGTTCAAATTCTAAGAATCGGTTTAATCGAATCATTTGACTAGACCCCATTAAACCACACTTCATTTTCATCTGCTCTTGGTATTACTACTATCTGAAAAAAAAACGGCGGTGGAAGCCTTTCTAAAACCTAAATGGTAATATGGGGACTATTCATCAACAGTCAGGTTGTCGAAAGTAGCCATCTTACGCCAATATATGTAAAGATGACTAAATCCGACAACTAGACAGTTGTTTGAAACACAATTTCAAAATTTGGAAAAATCGGAGAGGTAAAACGCCGCGGCCTGCCCACAAGATCGATATTTTTTCACGGCCGTGTTTACTTCTTTTCGACAAATGTCTTAACATCAAGCAATGAGAAAAATTACGTTAATTATGAAAAACTCTTTGTTTCGTACTAGTATCAAAAAAATGCGATCATCTATTTATAGTCTTTCATATTCATCAAATTGTATTTAAAAAATTACATTTAATTTTGATTTGGGATTTCTGTATCAAGAATGATGCCGAAGTAATTTGTCTCGTAAAATATACGAAGCAAACCTCTTGTCGAGATTCTAAGGGTGAACGGAGTGCGAAAAAACATCCACACATTCCGCCGTTTACAAACCTATTGTGCAACGTAATGATAGGGGCAGCATCTGATCAGTTTCTACAGATTCCTAAAGGAGGAAACAGCTCACGGAAAGAGTACATAAACAACAGCTGAAATACAATTTTTTCAAAAGTCAAAACTGGAACTTTTTGATAATCAAAAAACAATAATTTTGAAACATAATAAATATTTGTTAATTAAATTAGCTTACCTTTAATTGATTGGTTTTCGCGAAAAACTTTTTAAAATAGTTCGAAAGTAGTCCAAAATATTATAGACGATTATTAAATAGATGAGTATTGCATCAAAAAAAATTATAACTTGTATGTATGTGTAAGATTTCGAAAAATCCTAGGTTTGTTCCAGCTTGGATTAGATGACCCGGTTTGTCTCGAAAATTGCTATATTAAGATTCAGCCGATGTTTTAAATTTCCAATTTTAGAATTTTCTAATCTCTGGATTATTCTCTTCAAGACCTGTTTTAAATTTTCCACTAAACTTTTGGATTTTTGGCTTGTTTTCTACTTAAATTTGAGATGGAATTAACTTTAAGCTAATGTGATAAAATAATATTGTATGGTCCGCAAGATGATTTTTTTTAAACATCTTGCCGACCACTTGACAGTATCCTTTATATAGCGGCTTCCGACCAAAATTGAGCAATTTGATAACTATTGAATAACTCGCATCTGGACATAAATCAAAATTTTGATATACTGTCTGTTGTCACGACCATCTGTTGCAATTTCGAAACATTTCCAACTTGAAGCATATCAATTCGAAGAAAAAATTCAACATGATGGGCATGCTATAACGATAATATACAATTAAACCATGTGTCTAATTTGTTGAAAAACTGTTGTCATTTTCTTTTTCAAACTGAGCGTTTTAAAAGTAAAAACAATGCCAATTTTACTTGAAAAATCAACTTATTGTTTTTGATATATCATTTTTAACTGTGTGGTAATTACTGTATAAATGTTGTTTCCGTGTGCATTTTTTTCCTTCAGAGCTTGAGACAATTAGCTACAACTTGCCGGACTCCGCCCCTATCACGATTTGCACGAAACAATGTAGAGGGAGGAGTTTGTATAGCTCTTTTCCCACTCCGATCACTCTCCAAATCATGACAATCGGTTGCATCGAATCATTTGGCAAAACACTGTCACTCTACTTCGCCGTTCTCCTGCTTCATCCGCAACAACTCCGTTTCTCGTCTGGTGATCTGTTTTGCTTTTACCTGACACTTATATGGTTAAAGCAACTCAGACAACCAGACGGTAGTACGGGGACCATTATATTTTCAATCCTGGATATATTCTGTACCACTCAACTTCTCGTTCAGGTAACCAGATTTTATCCATCATACGCGTAGAAACTGATGGAAAGATCTGGTCACCCGACAGTGGTTTGAAAAACATTTGAAATTAAGGAAATAAAAATGGAATAAAACATTGAGAAATGTTTCTGCTCACAAAATTGCTAGATCAAATTTTACTGAGTGAAAGATGTGTTTTTGAATCCTTCACTGAACCCTGAAGATTGTTAATCTATGATTCAGTGTCGTTTCTCTACATTTCATTTTTCATTTTTTTTTTGTGTTTGCCTCAATCAGAATAACGACAAGGCAGTTTGAAAAATCAATCGTTTTTTGAGGACATTTTTTATATCTTTGGTTACCTCAATAAAGTGTAATTTAAAAATTTGATTTTTTGGGAAACTGACACCTTTTTTTTAAAGTTATTAACTATTAGCATTAATATTTTGTAAAAAATATAAAGCAAGAGTTTGTATTTACAAAGTTAAGAAAATACTGAAATCGACAGGGGGAAAAGTAAAAATCTCAAAAAAAGAACATTTGGAATTTCATAGAATAATAGAGTTGGTTCTGAACACTTCGATATTATTGAGATATTTTGAATATAGTCGGCGTTTGAAAGTTGTCAATGGTGAACTTTCTAGAAAAAAAATAACCGCAAAAATTGTCTGTCATTTTTATCTAGATATAGACTGGTTGAACACGCCTAAGGATTATATTTAACGCTAATACAATTTTCATATGAAACGAATTGTTGCTTATTGTCTTCAAGTTATCACATATTCATATATTTTGATTATGCACGAAAGAAATTTTAAGAAATTCGAGTGTAGCACGGCAATTGAGCAGCTACCAATTTCAAACACCAAAATCAATTTTAAAAAATTATTTTCTAAAACAGTAATTATTTCTTCAATATATCGTTATCAGAATTCTTTTCTATTTTTAAGTTAAAATTTTCTGGCGGTTTATTTTTTGAAAGAAGAAGGCTTGATTCAGGAAAAATTGAAATGAAATATTTTTTGTGACTTAAATTTTTAATTGGAAGACGATGAGTTGATGGCGTGTGTTGTCCAAAATTAGATTAAATTTTGTTATCAATCAAATAGCAAAAACCTATGATAATGATTTCGAAAATTCTTTAGAAATAATAATTTTTTAAAGTTTTTTTGTCTCAGTTATCATGAGTAAACGCCGCATGCATCATTTATACGCGAATTTTGCCAAATTTTCCTCAATTCCTTAAAGATCTTATCGTGCCCAATAAATTGAGCTAATTTTCATTTGAACTATGAATTATCCAGTGCCTAAAAAACAGAAAAACTACACATAAAAATGAAAAATATGCTTATATGTACATCTAGAATGCGACTTCCAGGTCTTTGAGTGCAACTATTTATTTACTATTTCTATTGTTTTTTTTTATTCTATTTCTACGTTACCCGTATACGTGTATTTTTAGATGTTACTTAAAATTTTTCTTAATAATTGAATTAAGTATTATTTAATGATATTCGATTGCTTAACACAATGAAAGACAGTGAAGTGATTTCTTAAAGATAATTTTTATTCAATTATCACAGTTAAAATAGAAATGGTTTTGTCGTCAGAGATTATATTTTCTTCGCAGTGGACCTCTTGTTAGCACATAAGCGCATAAGTGCTCACTTTCTCTATAAAAGTGGTTGCTAAATTGGTTCTAGCCTCTATCATTTGCTTCAGCCCAATCGGATATTTCATTTCCTGAAGCACGAATTTCCCTGACGAATACTTTTAATAAATATCATTATTAAGTCAATAACCAACATTTCTGACTAACTTTGCGATTAAATATTTAAAAATTGATTTCATACTGAGCTCTATACAAAAATTTCACCAATAATCTAATACGATTTGCTATGAAATTCCTTAGTCTTAATGATATCACAATTTTATTTAATTACATAGTCGACTTATTTACTTTCAACACAAAATCTAGCAGAATTTTTTTTTGTGGAAATGAGATTCATTGAATATAAAAAAACTTTTACATATTAGGTTATGCAAGAAAGTATTGAATCACATTGAAGAACCACTTATCAAACCAGGGTTTTCAAAATGCAGCGCCTATTTACGGTTATTGTTTAAAAAAATCTGGAAAATGGAAAAAAAATTTAAAAATGCCAAATTTAAAGAGAAACAAAAAACAAGAAAAATCGAGAAAGTAAAAAAAACAGTTCAAATTTCGCAATAACCGTCTAGTCCTCAGAGTTGTTCATACTGAACGTGCCGCAGTGTTTGAGCAACCTGCGGATTGGACAGATCTTTGGCGGAGCTTAAACGAACGATAAGAATCTAATGTTACAAAAATTGAGAAAAAAGCAAATGTTTAATTTTTTTAATGAATCTGCAACAGTTCAGCATTACCAGATGATTCTGTGCGACAACCTGGGAAAATTCAAGATATTACCGTATCAGTGTAACCCGATACTTATCGAAATATCGATATTCATACAAGCTATGACTTGTCAGTCGCAATTGTGAAATTGTATCCGGCCAGTTGTGCATATGAAAGGTCACACCTTCGTCAGAACCTTTTGTGACTTATTAACGCACATAAAGTTTGCATTACGATGATATAACCCAACCAATTATTGCACCAATTAAATCAATAATTTACTCAAACCGTCACTGAGAATTTTTTATGTTGAAAAAAAACGAATTTTCAATTTTAATTTTTAGGCATGATCCTATTTATACAAATAATTTGAAAAATTTTAAAAGGTAAATCCGAATTCTGTTGCAAAAGTTAGAAACGTTAAAAAAAAAAAACAAAAAATTTAACCAAATGATAATTATAATCTTTTTTAAGGACTCAGAGGTAGATCAATAATATTTTTATTATTCATTAATATCCTGAACAGTAGCTATTATAAATATGTTTTACGACTTAATTTGATACAAAAAAAGTTTAATACTATCATCTCGTGGTTAATATTTAATAAGCATATAATGGTAAAACGTGTCATATCCGCAGGCTAGATTAGTTGAGAAACTCAAATGAAAACAGGAATACGAGATTGTGCTCTTCTCTGAAAGCAAATGTTAAATATTGTATTTAGTTATCGAAGAGAAGAACCCACCTCTGCTTTGATATATTTCACGCAAATACTTGTGATCCATAAAACAATCAAAAGAGTAACAATCACAGCAGCAGCAACAGCTAACATGCCCATACATAGGTGTAATTCCTTGCGCATAAATGTATAACCACGTGGCAAATCACTCAACGACGTTTCTGGTAAGAATTTCATCGATAGTTTACTATAGTCTGAAATGTAACTTTATTTAATTTTATTCAAGAGTTTGAAGTTACCATCAAAGGTTCGGAGCATGTAATCGTATTTTGTCATATTTTTATATTCGATGTCAAATTTTTCAGCAATCCAGTCAACATTGGAACTACAATCGTAATAATAACCATCTGCAATTCAATAGTGTCTCAATTTTCAATGATTGATTGACATACGATGAAATGTCCCATTTTTATAATCGATCGGTAGTATGAGCAACGCTTTGAAACATGCGTATTGACAATTTACCTATAATTTGAAGAATTTCTAACAATGCATATTGTAAAAGTTAACTAACCACCGGTGGATTTGTTGCTTTCTCGCAAGGCAACAATCCATCCTTGCTTGGATACTTTACTGTTGGATAATTTTTATCGTTATTAAAACTAAGAAAATCAATAAAAATCTAAAATTAAATTATTCTGACAATCAAAACTAAAGAACTCACAAATACCGGATCAATGCAGGCTACACATTTCGCATTGTGTACTTCGTTCGACAGCAGGGATAACGAAATGATGATGATGTTGATAAAGTATATCATTTGCGTCTGAATTTAAAATTCAATTTATTTATTCAGATGTTTAACTATTTCAAATCTATAGATGTGATGAAGTAAGTATAAAACTTTTGAACAAAAAAAAAACCCGAAAATCAATTTTAAACTGTTTTTTCAATTGAATATTATTTTGAAAATTTTGAAATAATGTGGAAAACTTTCGCAATCAGTTCTGAATTTGAAATATGAAAAAATGAGACGAAAGAAATTAAAACAAGCCAAACTCATAATTTTTGAGGTTACGGATAGTCAATGACTGTTGCTCGCGCGACTATTTTGATCAGCGCGCGGCCGTCTGGCGTTGTGTACGGAGTTTATGACCAGTAATGCGTTATCGTCTTGAAGAGCAAACCCCGTTTTCCCCTAATCAAGGTCATTAGCGGTTTTACTTTTATGTTTCTTCCTACCGTAATAACTCAAATTGATTCATATTTACCGTTATCTTTGCTGATAACATTCTTAAAATGAGGATATTCAGTATTTTAAAATAATTAACTAACAGAAAATATTTACATAGATACTCTGTTTTCATAAAAATTACCCAATTTCAGGGATTTACTACTTGTAGTCAATAATTACCTGAAGCTCCGCTTATTTCTTACGCGGCGTCCACCACCCGGACTGTAACTCGTTGCCGTGTTTGTGCGTCGTCTCAGAAAAACTCACTGGCGTCCGTTCAGTCCGAGCGGTGTGTGCTATGTGACCGTTTGGTTGTCGTCATTCGTCCGAGAAGTATCTATGACGCGCGTCCCTTTGGTTTCAGGAAATTTTCGAGCATTCCCGTCTAATCTGATTCTGCTGATCGTAGAGGCAAGAAAGTAAGAGAGCACTGTGATCAGGAAATGACAAAATGATCTTACTGGTGCCGTTCATTAAAATAAGCTTCTAAAAAGTAGCAGAAATATGACAATATTTATTACATGTTCATCATCTCATAAATATTTAGAAAAAAACTGTTTATATTAACTAAACCAACACAAATTCCCATCTAGCTCAAGTGTATAAAGATACAGGAAATTTCATGGTGGAAGGTAAAATGACTTCTCTTGTAAGCTCTGAAAGTACAGCGATTAGTAGTCTTAATTGTACAGAATACAAGTAATTTATTTATATTTAATTCCGTCGATTCGCTTTCGCCTGTTGAAGCACGAATCATAGAATACCGAGATTCTTGGTTTTTTTGCTTGGGTTGACCAGAACATGATTACTTTCTTAAAAGTTGCACGACTAGAAACAACGTCTTAAAACATTTTGCGTTTGAAAATCTCTTATGAATCTAACACGTCGTTGATAACGTTCCTCATACAACTGTCTGATAAGCAGAGCTTGTTATCTGCAAGATTCCATGAGATAACAAAACTCTGCCCACCAGACTGTTGGCGAAGAAGCTTAGAAACAGGAAGCTTTACCATTTATAACTTCAACGGGTAAATATTCATTATGGAATTGATAATTTATTCCACAATTTGTTACTTAAAAGCGTTCAATTCCGATTAGAAAATTGAAAGCAGCGGTATCTTTGATTATTCATGTACAAACGATTACCTTATATCTGGAGAATAGCCTGTGATTAAAAATACATGTGAATTTGTTAAGAATCGTAAGTGTCCAATCGATTGTACATAATCATTGGAAATAAGTTGATGTCGGGAATAATCATTCATTCAAGAATGATATGTGAGAAACTGGAGGGTAGGTGCTTGACATTTTCTTGATAGTGATTGGAGGGGAGAAAAGAACGTAACAGACTCCGCCTACAATCGTCGTTGTTCGGAAATGGCAAATTACAAGAAACGAAATGTGGCAATTTGGATACTTTAAAAACCTTACCCAATTACAAGCCATTTCGGCGAAATGAAAGTTTAACGGGATTTTAACACTCGTTAGCTGAACAAAAAAAAGTTTGTGTAAAACAACAAATTACAGCGTTCGCAATAAACTGCTTTTCGTTTATAGACTTTTTTTTCAAAAAATTATAGAAATATAGATACTTTAAGTGAAATTCTTTTCGCACCAAAGAAAACCAAACGTATGATGGATTCGAGTTAGCATTTTCATAACATTGTAGTATTTGCTAGATTGATTTTATGTCATTTTGTATCGAAATTCTTTAAAAAATTAGAAATTTTGTGGCGCCCCCCCCACAATGAGTGTCAGTTCGATCAACTAACGATCATGAGACCATTTCAAACTTATCGTGGTTGTGCTATTGTCAAGAGTGAAAAGAAGAATATGTATGTATTTTGTGTTTTGTGTTTTATACGTGTGTTTTATAGGATTTGCAACAATTCTATGTGTGAATTCAATTATTAAAATTGGTTATATTCATGTTGTATGTTTAACCCAATTTCGTTTGACAATGCGCAAGAAAATGAGTTAAATGGCGGCAAGCCAGCACATAATTTGTCTATGTTCTGCCCTAATTCAATAATTGGTTTATGTAGGGTCTTTGTGTCTTTTGTTTTTTGTACAATTTTGTTTTTCGACATCTTTGTTTTAGATTTTTTTGTTTCATTTTTCTTCTTCACTTTTATTATCGACCTCCTCACCATCGCTATTGTGTCGACCAGTAATGGAGAAGACGATATAATTTCTTTGATTCCATCTATCTGATATTGAATCTAGGCTGAAAATCTTGGGTTTGAGTACAAAAAAACATTAAAAACATTGACGCACGCTCACGTCTAGCAAACTAAAATCTTCTAATTTCGAAAAAAAATTTTATTTATTAACAATTGAAAACAACAATGAATTTATCAGACGAAAAGATTGATTAATTAAGAAAAACAAGAAGCGTGGCAACAATTTCAAAGTAATTAAGCATTGTAGCGAGTGAAGTACAAGTTTGTGCCTTCATAAGATAATTTCTCGTTACATTCTGCAACAAAACGCTCCATATCCTTCTTGTGAAGGTCTTTTTGGTCCCTTAGTCTGAAAAACATAATTAATTCACTGCACTAAATACGACTAAAGTCTTACTCGGAATTTTTATAGATCAATTCTGATCTCTTTGTGTTGCGATCAGCGCACAACAATGGAATTGGCAACGACGTGCTGCTATTTACGATTTCATGAAGATGACAAAGTTGGAAGGTCAACACCTCCAAGTCATTCATAGTCTTTTTTGCCGTGTCGTGTAAGAGAGTATATTTCGTTGCTTTGGCAGTTCCCTGAAAGTTTATAAATTTTTTTTCGCAATTTTAATTGTTGGAAAACCTGGAAAGCTGCATGAGAAAGCAAAAAGAATTCGTTAATCGATGGATTAACAAGAACTTTGTCCACGACAGTTCCAACTGCGGCATTTTGGAATGTCGCGTTGTCTTTTGGATTGGCATCCTAAAATTGAATTAATTTGGAAAACATCGAACAGCAAAAACAAACCGGCTTGTAAAGACGCTCATTGTGAGTTTTACTTGCGGCGATTACAGTTAACAGGGGCTTCTTGCCCATTTCGGACTCGAAGTTTTTAAATGCTTCCTTTATATAAGGAACGTAATTCTCATTGATCTGGAAAACTATCAATTATCCTAATCACAAAGAATATTTTACCACTGGGAATTGTCCTTCGTTAATTCCATTGAAATAAACGATAAACTCGTTTGGAACTTTTCGATTTTTTTTGGTCCTTTTAATGACTTCCGTCATAACTTCTTGAAGAACAGGTCCAACCACCTACAACTTATACGTTTTCTAGCATATTTTCATGTAATCGTACTTCAGGTTTAGAATTCTGAATGAATTTGTAACCTCCTGCAAACTTATTTGTCTGTTCAAGAACGTTGGCAGCGAAACCAATGACCGGTGGTGCCTGAAAGCATATAGAAGCTAATCACACAAAAATTCTAATTCATACGTCTGCGGCACGATTCAGTGAGATATCAAATCCGACAATCGAACATTCCGGCTTATTTAATTCCAATCTGGAAACAATCGCAATTAAATCAACTACTAATATGTGCCTACCCAGCCGTGACGATATAATTGAGACCACCATTCTTGATGTTGATCTGAAATATCTCATCAATTGAGATTAACACTCAATTCCTACTTTGTTCACAATATTTTCGAGAGTGGCTGATTTCGCGTTTTCAGCGACCGACAATCGATTATCCTGGGTAACGATCTCATACTTCTTTTCCAACAATTTAATATCGCCATGCGAAGTGAGAGAATCCCTTGTTACGAAGAAGATAAAAGAGACACCATTATTTTTGGCCTTGATGAATACATTCTGCAAATATAATGTATTACAAACAAGAAACTGATTGGAATTTACCTCAAGATTTCGTTGTGAATATTTTGATATAGTTTCGGTGTTTGGCTCGTTGCACTTGATTCCAGATGATTTCATTGTCTTGAGAAGATTACCCAAGAAGACTTTCGAGTTAAATCGATTGCTCGGCTCAATAAAAACCATTTCCCAATTTTGGATCTTCGCCGGTTGGACAAATTCACCACCTCGCCATTTCTTGAGTAAAAATCTTTTTTAATACTAAAAATTCTGACTTACTGCATTACGGACTTCGGCGGCGTTTTTCGAAAATCTCACTAGTGGCGATGGCATCACACGCGCAGGAACATTCACGAAGCCTTTCTTTATTTTGAGAACGTCAGCGATAACTTTATTTGGCGGAGGCTCTAAGCCGATTGCTTCGACAACGGCTTGCGTTTCTTTTTTGCGGTAAAATGGAGGGATCGCGGTTTCCTAAAAAAAATGGCTTTTTTAGCAGCCGATTAAATAAATTACTCTTATTGCGGAAGATTGCTCGTTTGATGGCAGCTGCTCAGTGCGCACAATCTGATCTTCACATACTACTAAGACCTCGGCCGGGAAAAGGCATCTTTTATTTCGGATTTCTCCTTTGATAGTCATCATTCCGGGATAATTGAGTTCCATTTTGTGTTTTTTCAAGAAGTATTCCTTCACGGTCACTTTGCCGAAATCCGTTGTTTCAAATTCGGACTCCTTTGAATTTGCAGCTGGTCCGAATCCCTTCACAACAACGAGCGGTGCATCTGTTTGAAGGGGTGCCGTTTGTGAATTCTGCAGATAGCACACCAATCCTTTGACCTGCGGTAACAGATTGTTTGCTTCGCGTGAGTTTGGTTTGTACAGTTCGACTCTGTTATCGAGCTCATAAAGTTTATCAGCCAAGTTCTGATATTCTTGATGGAAGAGTGTTTTTTTAACTGAAAAACTGGAAGTTTAGCATGTATTTTCTATGATCCGACATACGTTCCGTAACCAAAAACAATTCCGGGTTTTTCGGATCAGCGCCTTCAAGGACTTTCACAGCATCTGTCAATCCACTTCCCATAAACTTGGTATTATACGAATTATTCGACGGTCTTAAATTGTATAGATATTTGAGAACTCATTTTATAAAATTTTACTTGAGGCCTGGAATATTCGCATCAACAAGATAATGCGTTGAACCGTTAACGGTGATGACGTTTTTATTATCTCGTGGTGTTTGTGCGATTATGGTATTAAGCGCTTCTAACAAGGTCTTGTCTTCCAAACGATGAACGGTGTTGTGTGTTTTTTTAATGTCTTCGGACGTTGCTTGAAACGTGTCCGCGACCTTACGTATTTGGACCGTAATCGCTTTAGCGTTATCTCGGGTGACTTCTTTTGGCGGTACAGTGAAATTGTACTACAATCGCAAATTCTATCATGAATACCAAATTTGAATTACCTCAGTGTTTTTCAACTCTTTCAATGTATAGATCGAAGACTGTCTGTCATAAAAAAATGTCGACTGGTTTCCAAAGACATTCTTATTGTTTTTGATGACATATTGGTAGGCCCTGTCGCAATACTTTTTCGAACGAAAGTTTTCCACACTAAAAATACAGGTAATTAATTTTCGATTTGAATCAAGTTTGCCAACTTAATAAGCGACTCCTTGGAAATTTCTTTCTCAACGTCGCCATTTTGTGATTCAAAAATAATACAAATTTTTATGTCGTATTTGTATATAGGGGTGTTTCGCACAATTTCTGAAATGTTTACTCAAAAATCTGGACAAATCAATCACTAAAATTATTTACCGAGCTTTTTCACATTTGTTGAGCACGTCGTCTGGTTTCCGAGCGTTCCTGGAGGAAGCTTATTAGCCAATCCTCCATGTCCCGATTTACTCTCTTTGTCGTTTGAAATGCTCATCTTGGACATATTTCCGCAAAGATTGCTTTTCCCAGCCATACTAGAAAAAAAATATTTGCAGTGAGCACATGTGTGAAATATTGAATGATTCAGCGAATTTTGGGCCAGTTCGCCAGGGGAGTTTTGGGCGGACTGCCCCCGACACGCCTGCCCAAAATTCGCTGAAAACGGCAAAAAAATTCTATTTTTTTGAGTTAGTACACGTGGCCTAAAATTGATGGTCCTTCTTTGCAAAAACGCTCCATTGTTACATACATTGCGACATGTTCTAGGGGGCCGCGACATTGGTCAGCGAAAGGCCATATGATGAGAGTGAGAACCATTTCATCGCTGCCAATTCACAGAGAAATATACATTTAAAGCAAGATTGCGTTGAAAAATGAGAGTGTGTTTGAGTTGTGTGGCGCCAACGCGATCGGAACGACGCTCGCTCGCGCCAATCACAAGATGCTGGACATTTTGGTAAACAACTCGGCGTCCTTGGGTTGGATTAAATTTTTAAATTGATAATAGACGTGTCCTTCAAGGCATTGAATTGAGGAAAATTGAGGAAACAAATGTTGATATCGATATCAAGCATGTTGAATTTCAATAACTATTTCGGTATTTTGAACATAATAAAAATGAACGGCGTTTGCAAATTTTGATGACAATTGCCGAAAATGTATTTCAAAAAATTGGTATTTTGAAGAGAGAAATTGGTATTTTGAAGAGAGATAAAAAATGAAAAATGAGGTTGCGATTTGCTAGACTTTTTAAAATTGAAATAAAAAAACAAGAAACGCTTACTTTGGTGATCCAGCACCTACCCCAAAATTAACAAAAACTTTTTCTGTTATAATTATTTCACTCCTCAAATTTGAAACTGACTATTATTAAAAACGTGGACCTTAGGGAATGTGGCAGCAAAAATATTAGTGTCTCAAATTAGCCCTCAAATATAATTTTGTTTTGGTGAAAAATAACACGTCGCAAAAACAAAACACGCTGCAAAAAGAACACGCTGCCTGCAAGGTGTATACCATACACTTCTCGTTGTCTCGAGACGCTTGGCGCATAGCCAGGATTTTAAAATATATATTAATCGTGTGAACCGATAATGTTTTTGGAAAAGATTTTGAAGCTTATATTATATACATGGATACTATGTAAATGCATATACATACATACATGCGTAGATATAAAAAAAAGAGTATTTTTTAAATTCAAGCTTCGACTTACATTTCTCTGACAAAAACTGATTGTAATAACTATTGTTGAAGACGTACGATTGATCGCAGAAACAGAACGAATGAGAACACGTCTTGCAGAAGTTGGTGCAGATAGAAAGGACAAAAGAAATGAGCAAAGGCTAGGGACTCAGTGGGCGGTGTCTCGAGAGGCGTGTACAATGAGCGCGATCGTCTCTACCTGGTAGATATAGGAATATGAAAAATTGTTTTTATTCGCAGAACTCTATAAGAAACTGGTTTTAGCGAAAAAAAAATGAAGCAGAGTTGGCTGATATGAACGATAAATACGGGTTTTTATCATTTTTTTTAGTTGCTTATAATGTCAATAAAGAAGATATCATGGTTGCAAACGACAATGTGTCACATTGAATTTAACATGAGCAATATTGATAGAATGCCTGTTTGCCTATTATTTTAGTTGACGGTAAAGTGTTTCGAAAAAGATTGCCTGAAACAATCTTAAATATTTTATAGTAATTTTTTTGTTAATAATACGTTTGTAGTTTATTTTAATGATGCTTACATATAGTTGGCGTATGGTGAAATCGAATTTTTGGGTCATTGTGTTTCGAACTTCATTCTTGGCCTGTTCCTAAAATGTATACGCTTACAAATAATGTAAAAAATTACATCAAATGTACATTTTTATAACCCTGAAAAAGAAAAAATATGTCATTTTTTATTTTTTAAATTACCTATCATTAAGGATCACTCAAACACGTGTATAGGCAATGTCGCAAACTGGTGTGCAGTACGGTTGACAGATAATTTCTAAAGCAAACACAATTGCAATTTAAAAAAAAATATTCGACTATAATTGGAGGCTAATTATACAAACCATATGCTGATTCATTTTGATCGGTGCGTAAGTGACGGAGCAAAACAAAACATGTATGTATGTGTGACAAAGAATGAGTAACCGCAACCAATGAACAGCCAATATTTGGAAAAAATTCAAATATTAGTTGTATTTTGTGCGACAAAATTACGTGTGTCCCATTCACCCAGAAGCGCCACTATTGGCTGATTCCATATATGGGTGTGGGAAAGCTGATTGCATGACCCCGGGAACAGAATAGTTCATGGGGGTCAAGTCGGTCGATGAAGCTGGTCATTCTTAAATGAGAAAGATGGTTGTCGCACCAGTCTTGAGCGGTTATTGCTCGATTAGTAGGCCCTGTCATGTTGAAACATCCATTATCGATTTCCAAAGTGAGTGTGGGAAGGACATTCTTCTTCAGGATTTCGTTGAAGTAATACTTTTGAACAATCTTCACACCAGGATCAACGAAAATAATAGGAGTTTTGCCGAAGGGGAGTGTCATTAATGACTACCGGAAAGTAGTCTAAAGGCCATCACAAATCATTCCTCGCCATCACAATTTAATATCTGAAGCACATTATTGAAAGTTTAAAATTGATAAACTATTATTAAATTGTACCGCCAAAGCCACACGCCACCAAAGCCACCTACGCACACAGTGTAACCTTTATATTGCATTCGTGCCCCCCTATAAAAGGGAGCCTCAACGCCCATTTTTTCACTTTCTTTCCCTTCGTTGGTTGTTGTTCAACTTATATTCAATTTATGTCCAATTCATGTTTAACTTATTTTTAATTTATTTCATTTACAATAAAGTTTAATTACCCAAGTTTGAGGTTGTCCATCTCCTACTGGTTAATAAACTATGATCGCGATTTTTTGATAAATGTATCCACATTGCTAACGGTGAATCGAAAGCATTTATCATTTTCCAAAAACCAATAACGCCCACGGAAAATTTATTTTTTACAAATATTTAATAAAATACATATATAATTCCAAATTGAAGCAAAAAGATGACGACGACGCTCAAAAAAGTGTTCGACTTCTCCTACATCATAATTATACCTCCTCATTTTATATTTCTGAATAAATATTAGTGTTTATTCACTTGAACAATAAAGGCAATGAAGAGATCAAATCTCGCTCATCGACAAAGAACCAAAAGTATACTTTGGGTTGCTATAGCACTTAGAGCGCAATGCAAGTTGCATAAGAATGATTGCACGCAAGAGCTACGAAGTGCCAGTAAATACAATAAATGGCGGTAAATCAAAGGTCCGTAGTTTACGAAGAGACGGACACAAAAAAGAGCAGTTTTATCAATCCAAGAGCACGATCACACCTACAGGTATCAAGAAGGCCCATAAAATAACTGGTCAATGCCTAACTTTTTGTTTAACGTCTCAACAGAAGCTCTATCATCCAAGTGTTTTTTTTTAATTACTTATAATACACTCAGTGTTATGTTGAATAATAACCGTCTGGACGCCACATATTTTTACAGGATACTGTACACATAATACGCATATTTGCAGGTCTTCTGCTTACAGAAATGTGCGGAAAGTGATTTTTTCGTTTTTGATTTTTAAATTTTTTTTCTGGAGTTACTTTTGAAATCTAGCTTTTGATAGACGTTTTTATAGATTGGTAGACCTCATGGAAAAAATACCATGTCATCAGACATCCGCAAAGCGATCGTGACCGGACGGAAACAAGGAGCGTCAAGCGAAATCCTTGCGAATCATTTTTCTTGCTCAAAAAGGACAACTAACCGAATCTTGAAATAATTTCGAAACTTGTTATTGTTTTTTAAACTGTCGAATACTGTTTTCGACGTTTAGCATAACTATGATATGCTCCAGTCACCCTGTAGACCCCGTAAAATCACTAGGATATATACCATCATAACTGAGAGGACAGAATTTGTATATCGTAAAGTATCAGGTTACTATTGTTCGGCAATTGGTTATAACATGTGTCCAGCTGACCTTCAATGATGTTTCTCGCCGATATCATTCCGAAAGTTACATAGGAATATCTGGTGGTTTTATACTATCATTTATTTAGTGAGAAAAATCGCGTTATATATTTAAGTACTCTTATAAACACTTTATCTGAAAAAACGTTGCAAACACATTATTTGTGACAGTTATTGTCAGCTGCTACAACAAAGCAGTCGCTTTTACTAAGAATAGTTGTTCTTTTTTTATTTTCAAACTTGATTACAGTCACAAAATTGTCAGATCTGAAAGTGTTTGTGGCAGTCTTTAATAGTAGTGGCACACGCCTAATTTATTCATAATGAAGTTTGCACCATCAAAAATGATTACAACCATTAAGCAAACAATTTGATATCAAATATTAAACAACAATTATTTCTGCATTTAAAGAATCTGAAATCACCAGATGGCCCTCTGTTCCATCATTAAAGGTCAACTCCACACATGTTTTACACGAGTTAACGTATAAATGTAACTCGATACTTATCTATATACAAATTATGTCTTGTCAGTCATGTTCGAGAAATTGTATCCGTTCATCGTGTGAAAGGTCACACATTCACCACAACTTCTGGCAATAGCTCTATTACCAACGACCCTGTGCATTTTTATACCACACGTCCCATTGATCCTGAATGATGATTGCAACTCGATTATAAAATGCAGTCAACTGTTTTGGTGTTATCTTGATTGCAGCTGTCACAGAAAATCCGAAATTTAAAATGTCGCAAAATTAAGCTCTATTTGGAGATCTTCCGAAAAATTTCACAATGAATGTTTTTCTCCGGCAAAAATAATTCAAAAACCGTTAGTTTCTGAAATTAGGCGCATGAAATTGAATGGAATACTCAACCTTTGTGAATTTGATTTCCTTTTCATTTTCATTGACATAAATTAAGAAAAAAAAGGGAATGCTACGGACTAGGTGAACTTTGCCTATATATATATATCAAAGCACATATTAAAATATGAAAAAATTTA